CCTGCAATGCAGGAATCTTAGCTCAAGCATCCCTGACAGATGGCCACCTAGCCTCTCCCAGGGAGCAGAGACCGTCTGAACAGCTCTTATTGTCAGAAAGCTCTTCCTGATGTTGAGCCGGAAAAGTCTTTCAAAGCTGCTGCACACCTTTGTTTGGGGTCCTCCCCTCCTTGCAAATGTCAGTGGGAAGGAGGGCTCTGTTTCAACAGAAAAATAAAGATTCCCCCTTTCTTCCAGCTTCCACTCATTCGTCTCCGACTGATAATGGACTTGGGAGGCTTTGAGCCCCTTGGGGAGCTGAGCTGTAAAGGACAACCTCCAATTTTCATGCATCAGAAGGAGCCCAGGAGCCCCATCGGGGCTTACCCTGCGCAGGCTGGTTCCCCCCCACACACAAACACACACACTGGGTTGCAATTTTGTGGGTCAGCTTTGGCTGGGAGAGGCAGCCCCCGTTAAGTCTCTGCCAGCCCAATAGCACAGCCCCCCCCCGCCAAGTCCATGGCAGGAGACAGGCAGCAGCACCCAGACCCCAGAGGCTGCCCTTGGGACTGGCGTTCCCACACTGCCGCCTCCGCAACAAAGGCCAGCGGCCAAGTCCCCCCCCCCCCAGCCGCTTCCTTGGTCCCACAGGAAAGCCAGGCAGGGGCTGCACATCCTGCCCTCTGCCTCTTCCTGCTGCCCCCAACAGACAACCAGGCCTGCAAGCTTCCTCTTCTGACATCGCCCAGGCCCCCACACAGCCCCCCACCAGCAAAACGCCCAGGAGTTTGAAGGGACCCGAGGGCCACGCAGCCAAGGGGTCTAACTCTGCAGGGAAAAGCTTCCTGTCTTTCCTCTGCCCCTCCCCACCGGAAAGGGATGGTGGCTGCAGGCTCTGCCCCCCCCCTTAACATCTGCAAAATGATTAAGGCTGATACATTGTGTTACAGGATTTTATCTAGGTAACTTCCCTGAGCTGTCAAGTTGAAAGGGTACATTCAGGCATAATATTTGCAACATTTAACAACTTTAAAGATGTCCCCCCCCCTGTAATTTCCATAACAGTTGGAAGGACAAAAATATAACCTCCTATGACAACTCCTGCAACCCATGAGCTTTCAGACAAAGATCATGCATGGACAAATGTAAAGATCTTTGGAAAGTATTGATCGAAACCACAGTAACAAACAAATCAATGTATCTTCAAGGGAAAGAATAAGTAGATCCATTTGCATATATAGCTCTGTAGGCTTAATGAGATTCCCACAAAACATTAGGAAGGCCTTTCTGGTGGTGAGAGCAGTCAGACAGGGGAAGGGGCTTTTAGGGAGAGGTCGGGGGGGGGCATCTGCCAGGGATGCTTTAGCTGTGAGTCCTGAATTGCTGGGGGTTGGACTGGATGACCTTTGGGTCCCTTCCACCTCTATGATTCCATGACCTTTAAGGGAAGTCACCTCCATCTTCGTCTCAGAGCAGATGCCCACAAGCCCTGGGCGGGAAGAGCCCGAGAGAGAGAGAGCCCGAGAGAGAGAGAGAGAGAGAGAGAGAGCCCGAGAGAGAGAGAGAGAGAGCCCGAGAGAGAGAGAGAGAGAGAGAGAAAGAGAGCGAGCGAGAGAGAGAGAGCCCGAGAGAGAGAGAGAAAGAGCCCGAGAGAGAGAGAGAGAGCCCGAGAGAGAGAGAGAGAGAGAGAGCCCGAGAGAGAGAGAGAGCGCCCGAGAGAGAGAGAGAGAGAGAGAGCGAGAGAGAGAGAGAGAGAGAGAGAGAGAGAGCCCGAGAGAGAGAGAGAGAGAGAGAGAGCCCGAGAGAGAGAGAGAGAGAGAGAGAGAGAAAGAGAGAGAGCGAGAGAGAGAGAGCCCAAGAGAGAGAGAGAAAGAGCCCGAGAGAGAGAGAGAGCCCGAGAGAGAGAGAGAGAGAGAGAGAGAGCGCCCGAGAGAGAGAGAGAGAGAGAGAGACCGAGAGAGAGAGAGAGAGAGAGCCCGAGAGAGAGCGAGAGAGAGAGAGAGCGCAGCCAAGCCCCCTTCACCGCCTGCCCCCCCCCGCCAGCCCCCTCTCCCCTCCTCCCTAGGCGGCAGCTCCGCCATGACCACAAACGGCGGCGGCAGCAGCAGCCGCGCGCGGCCCGGGCTCCCTCGCCAGCCGCGGGAGCCAAGGCGCGCGACGAGGGAGCCAAGGCGCGCGATAATTTTTTAAATTATTGGGGGGGCTCCGCCCCCCCAATAAAATTTTTGAGGGGGCTCGGGCCCCCTCAGGCCCCATGGGGTCGGCGCCTATGGACCTGAAGCCACCTTGAAAAACTGTTTCGCTGAAGGCAATCTGCTGGAAAGAGCCTCAGTTGGTTTAAAAGGCAGAGGCCAAAAGGTTGCGCTTTACAATAAAGGCAAAGAGTAATGGTTCCTTGGGATGCTGCCTCTTGCTGATTTCCAGTCCATCCATTCTATACTTAAACATGGTATGTTTTCTCTAAAGCTAAAACTGGCAGTCATGTGAAAGCATTTAAAGACATTATTTTCTAGTTACAGAAGTCTAAAGTGGGGGAAAGGGACACTTTTCTCTCCATCCCACATCAAATGCAAAGCCAGCCCTGGACACTGAGGATTAGGAATCGTCTGTCACCAGCAGAGCAAAGCCACTGACATCATAAAACAATGCACTGCCTGGAATGAATGATTGGATTTAAATCATTGGCATTCAGGCTCTGAACCCTTTGCAGCTACAGCAAACCCACCATCAAAGGAACACTTGAGTCTATGCTGTGTGACATGCAACCGAAAACCAATTCACAATAGAGGGACAACAGTAATAATGGGAAAGGCAGAAAGTATTTCTTAATGTATCTAACACTTACCTTTTCCTCAACAAATAGCTGTTTCTGATCCTGATCAAATTAACTTCTGTACTAAAGTACTTTGCACATGCAAATTTTCACTACAGTTTAATCAGTCTGATTTCACCACAATTTGCTTTTTGTGGGTATTTTGGGGTGTTAGAAATATCCTGGGTGCAAAATTTCTTCCACTGTCTTAGTAAATAAAAACAATTTCCTCTTATTTCTGATGTTCAGGGTAAGAGCTGATGCTTATGTACCCAAAATGATACCATTTGCACACAAGAGGGAAGTATCCATGAGAGTTACCTTCATGGAAGCAAGTTTAAGACTGCATAGCTTGAAAGAGCAATTCTTGGAGGGTTAAAAAAAGTCAGTAAAGCCTCTTCTCTCTTGCACATACATAGCAAGACTAACTCAGGACCTCACTTTCTAATGATAACATAATGCAAAAATCAGTGTTGTAGAAAAGGTGGGATGTGTTCCCCTTTATGCTCATTAAAATAATATGAGAATAACAACAAAACAGTAAATGATGAGGGATGGCCACTCTTCCACCTGTGCGATGCCTAGAAAGCGTGAGTCCAAGCAGTTTCCCCCTTGCCCTGCTCCTTTCCAAGGAAAAACCTGCTCTTTAGTGATAGATCAGAACAAATGTCCATCTGGGGGAAACACAAATGGTTGTTTTCTGCGGGGTGGGGGAAGCAGCAAGGCCAGAGGAGTGTGGATAAACCCGCAATCACTCTCTGTAATAGGTCTCAGCAGCAACAGGTTGCTGTGCTCCTGGATTTACACATTTTACTAGGCAAATTTTCTTACACTGAGATTATTTTAAATCTGATCAAATTTTGTACAATAAAAAAGGAGCTGAATAATCTGCCTCCAGACTGAACAAAGCAAAATTTTATTATATCCAATTTATTCTATAATATATATTGCATATTATATCCAATTTATTATCAAATTATATTATATCCAATTTATTTCTGATTTTTTAGAGGATTGATAGGATCACAGAATTGTAGAGTTGGGTCCAACCCCCTGCCAAGCAGGAATCTCAGCACACAACCCCCCATCTCAGATGAAACCATACCGGTCCCTGGTTAGCTTTGCAAATGCGCTAGCAGTTTTATTGCTGCACCATTAAGTTGGGTAAATTTCATAATATCTTGGCAAGAACAAAGATGGTAGAAGACAAGAGAGTGTATCAATATGGATATGGGAGCTACACCAGGGGGACTTTGCACCTTTGGGAGCCTTGCTGGAAACCTTCCATTGATTAGGAAACTTATTTTTCTTCTTAGAAGGGATCTGACAGCCAAATTCTGCTCCATCAGTCCAAGAAAATTTCATTCTACACTTCCTTTGTCTGGCCACTGTTCAGGAAAATTTATATGGTGCTTCATGTTTTATATATGGGGCTAACCAAAGATCATGGGATGCGGATGGCGCTGTGGTCTAAACCACTGAGTCCAGGGCTTGTCGATCAGAATCCTTGTGAAGGAGTGAGCTCCCATTGCTCTGTCCCAGCTCCTGCCAACCTAGCAGTTCGAAAGCACGTCCAAGTGCAAGTAGATAAATAGGTAACCGCTCCGGCGGGAAGGTAAACGGCGTTTCTGTGCACTGCTCTGGTTCGCCAGAAGCGGCTTAGTCATGCTGGCCACATGACCCGGAAGCTGTCTGCAGACAAACGCCAGCTCCCTGGCCAATAAAGAGAGATGAGCGCCGCAACCCCAGAGTCGCCTGCAACTGGACTTAGCTGTCAGGGGTCCTATACGCTTTTTTTAAAAAACCAAACGATCAATAGAAATTAAAAGGTAACGACTTGGATTTTAAATAATTTATTCAATACTGACGTAATCCTGCACAAGCATTAGCTTATGACCCTGAATGCAGAAGAGTCGTGTTCTTAGCATTATCAAAGAAAGTCCAAGGACAGTTCAGCTGTTCCAGGAAAGTCCTTTCACTTAGCTCTTTGAAAGGATACAGCAGCTTTACACCAAAGAGGTCACAAACAAGTTATCTGAAAGGTGTAACGGTTTATAAAGTTTGTTAATAGCATAAAAGTTAGAACAGAGGTTTTAAAGGGACACGACCAGTACAGCCTGCAACTGGACTTAGCTGTCAGGGGTCCTTTACCTTTTTTTTTTAACCAAGATCACAGAAATTAAAAGGTAACGACTTTGGATTTTAAATAATTTTATTCAATACTGACGTAATCCCTGTACACAGCAAAGCATTAGCTTATGACCCTGAATGCAGAAGAGTTGTTTTCATCTAGCGGATATGGTACTTGGAGGAAGGAAGTTCCCAAGCACACAGGGCAACATGCACAGGAAAGTGCCTATACATAATGAGCACAGAAGCCAATGCAGAGGAAACAAGTTAGAGACCAATCTGATATAAGGACAGGTGTTTCCATCCCGGGTTCTAGTGTTCAGGATTCCAAAATGAATACCTAAAATATCTTGAGAGAATAAAACCTTAGTAAAGAGCAGTTACATTAGAATCTTGGCTGCTTAAGTCAGAGCTATCTGAGGTTATGTCTGAACTTGCATCCGAAACATCCGGGTCACCTTGATCTTTAGCAAAGTTGATGAAAACCTAAAATGAAACAAAATATATGAAATTAAATCTACCCTGCTTTATGGATTGCTTACAAATGCCTTCCCAAGGCTGGATATTCATGCGCATGTAAAGAGACTTGGCAAAACATAATATTCCACAGGCAAACTATTGCTTTTTCTATTTCCTACAGATCCCTCTGGAATTTCCTGCCTACTATATTCCTCTTTTGGTTTTAATAGCAAAATGGATTAGATGTTAAATAGAAGCCTTCATGTACTGCTTGGCTAAAGAATTCACGTTGTATCTCAGGTACACCTATATTTTTAAAAAATCTAGCTGGTATCTGCCATATTGTTCCTATGCTTTGGGCTGTGAGCTTAGAATGATATAGATGGTAAAAGCTGCTTTTAGATATTCTATGTTCAGTAATGGAGCAGTTTGCAAAGGAAATACAATATATCTAAAAGATACCACCACCTGCATAAACCTGCTCCAGGTGTCCCTGCCTTTGGAAGTTAGAAGGTGGGTCCAAAAGCAGGATTTTCTCTGTGGTGGTGCCCTGATTTCGGATTCCCTCCCCAGAAGCACCAAAACTGCTATCTTCTGGGTACTTGATTAAAACTGCCATGTTCTTCAAGGCTTCTGATAGTAAATATTATTGATCTGTTGGCTTCTCTCTGATGTTTTCAGTGCTTACATGTTTAGGTTGTGTTGTGTTATTTTAGGTGTTGGTGCTGTATACTATTATTTATAAAGACAATCAAATTGCTAGCTGCTTTGGATGCCTAGAAAGGCAAGGGAGACATATTTAAGATCAAAATAAACACACACATAAATACACGTATAGCATAATTGGACAAGTATCATTCCATACCTCTTCTAGAGTTGTTTGACTCACTGAGAAGTGCCTGATTTTGAAGACCTCTTTGTTTGCTTCCAGCATTTGAAATATGTTTGCTACGCCTCCTGCAGACACCGGGACATGATATTCCACCATATTCAGTTGATGGTCCTGTAGCAATAAGAAGATTTACTGCTAATGAATGCCAGATTCAGAGGGGGTAGGCACTGTTTATCTTATTGATTGATAGCTATCCTTATGAGCTCTGGCCCCTTTGTGTGCTTGTGTTTATTCCTCCGTACGGCCTCCTTTTTTCCAATGCTTCTGTTGCTGATTCTGGATCTTCACACAACAGTTATGCAAGGAGCACCAGAATCAGTTAGGTCTAATGTTACTAGCTGCTATTGATCAGGAAGATGTTTCAAATGTTGGTTCTCTCATTTTGTCACTGACATGATAGATTGATTCAGTCATGAGCTTGCAGAGGAGCTATGTAAAATCTTACACCTCAGTTCCCCTGCCTTTATAATAAGAAGGTAATATTTGACTGGTGCTGTTAAATCATGGAAGTACTTTAATGATAGCATTGCTGAAATAACTCAAGACACTTTAAAAATTCTGCTAGTGCTCAAATGCATTCAAAACTATTTGCCCTCATTCTTGCCAATATCTGGGTTGTACCACTTTAGGCTGCAGGTGGATACTCAAAATACTTATCACTTCCTACAACATAATGCCCTGCACATTCTTTTACATTTACCTTCAGATGTGTATTTGGAAAGGTCAATTGCAAAAATTCTGTCAGCTTTTCTATACTGTCAGAATTATTATTCAAATGCATCTTCACGGTGAAACCTTTTCCAAATCTGGGGGGATAAAAGGAAATAAATATTTTATGGAATGTAAAAGAGGTTTAAAAACTAGAATCAAGCAGTCCTTCTAGGACACCAAACAAAAACTATATTAAATTCTTACAATAACTGCAAGGACATTAGGGATAAATCTGGCCACTGTCAATGTGCAGAAACTCACATGTCAGGGATAGTCAACATGTAGGGTCTGGAAGAAGTAAGGCGCAAGCAAACTATCTGTGCAAGAGGAATTAATATTTGCTTTAGCAGAGCTCCTTTCCTCCACCCAGCTTGCACGCACCTCACAAAATCTAGGTCACCATCAGGCGGAATAGGCTAGTGGTCAAGTATTTTACACCCAGGACTGGATGGGGATACAGAAGGTGCACACAGGTTTTAATCATTGCCTAAATGCTGCAATGTGAGTGCACTGAATGAGAAGCAGTGGGACTTTAATGAGCCTTATGCTCATCCTTCAGCGCATGGGTGTTGCACCTAAACGAGAACAAAACATGCCCCAAGTATCCACACCAGGGATGGGTAATGTGTGACCCTCCAAATGAGAGTTGTATTGCATATAATTTAGAGTTTGTTTCGGGCTGACCAGAAGATGATTTACAAAACAGAGTTTGAAGTCCTGTTTCACCTCAGTCCCTTGTGTGACGAGGGCAGTTTCAGTCCCATGTTGGGGCATGAATTCCAAGTGGAAGGGATCCAAATGTTCCGCATCCTCCAGATGTGCCCGGAGTTGTTCCACAACCACCCGCTCAATGACCGCTCCCCACATTAACTGGGGGGCTTTTGCGTGGTTGAGCACAGCCCCCCCAAGACTATGAGGCTCCCGGCAAGGTAGCCTGGCTTCACCTCTCCCCCCACCCAGCTGGGTACCTGGAGGTTCCGCCTAGCCTCGACAAACGCTTGCTGCTGAGGGACCGGGAAGGAATTTCCCTGCATTGGCAGGTTTCGCCTTCCCCATATCAAAACGTCACAACTTTGGCGGTTTGTAGGCCTAGTCTATTTTCCCTCAATGGGGGGGCGTGAAGCGGTGACCCAAGCCCCCCCCCCCAGGCGGCGATCCCAGGGTTCCCTGTTAAAGGGGTTATTTTGAGGGGAGGCACTGGCCATACGCCAATGGGTTGTCAGTGCTCTCCCCTTCAATGCAGCGAAATTGGGGGTGGGCTCTCTGTTTGAACAGACGTTCTCCAGAGCCAGCCCAATCCCCACACAGTTTGGATAACCCTGATGTTCCCCAGATCCCCAGCTGGGGACTGGGAGGGATAAATGCCCAATGCCTAAGCCAAGGTCTTACTACATCTGAAAGTTTAATAAAGTTGTGGCCAATTTTAATCCCATAACACGTTGTCAAGTGTCATTATTCCTCCTGGGGGTCGCCTGGGGCTTGGGGGGTCTCCGCCTGTCTGCGCAATCACCTTGCCCAGGAACGGAAGATTTGAGACTGGGCGATAATTGACCATAATGGCTGGGACCAAAGATACCACTTCTTTAAGGGAGTCCAGGAAGACCCCCTTACCACCCCATGGAGCCCCCTGGCCAGGCCAGCCTGGCTGCTATAACGAGGCAGGATGGGCAAGAATCAAGGAGAATCAACTCATCCAACCAGCCTGTCCAAACAGGTGCAGACCAACAGTGGTGTCCTGTATATGTCTACTCAGAAGAAAGCTCCATTGAGTTCAACGAAACTTACTTCTAGGGAAAAGTGCACAGGACTGCAACCTGCAATTTCCTATCCAGAGAAAAGCACTTGTTTGCTCTCTTTCTATCATTCTCCCTTTTTTCTTTGGCTTTGTAACAAAAACAAGTCTTCATTTCACCATTTCCTGCTCAGTTGGGTCTCACAGTAAACCTACGGGAACGGTTGTGAGAGACATTTTACCAACCTGCTCTTTATATGCTGCAGTGAACCCAGGCACTGGAAACTTCCATTTACCATGATAGCCAGTCTTGTGCAGAGAGCCTCACATTCTTCCATGCTGAAAAATGGAGAAAGTAGAGTAATGAAGTCCCCAAGAAGCATGAGAAGAATCTATGATGGTGAGAATGTGTGTGGAGTGGATCTCCAGTGTTTTTGGAAAATGCACACAATCTGCACATCAGTCAATATTAAGCAGCATGGGATTCAGCTGCTTGACCTCCCAGGGCTTATACATAAAGGGCTTTCCCTGGACTGTCACCCACTCTGGGCAGTGCCAAGCAGTGGCACTGCTGCATCCACAGAATCATAGAACTGTACAGTTAGAAGGGACCATGGGGGGCATCATCTCCAACAATCCCTGCAGAATTTCCTCTCAGAGGAAAGCAGAAGCCTTCTTTGGGTGTACTGCCTGGAGAAGTGAGGGCAAAAGTGTGCAGTGGGGTGGAAGTGCACATATTGGTCCCACTGCCCAAATCACTGGACATGCCCCCTCCTCAACTCCCCAACTTTGTTTAGTGCAAAGGACTGAAGGGGGCTTACTATCCCATTTGCCTGAATGTCTTCCATAATCCGGAACTGATCCCTTTCCCATCCCCACCACGGATCGTCCTTTTGTATAGCAAATCAGAACTAAGTCTGGCCTTTTTATTCCAAAATAAATAAATAAAGTTATTAATAGAAGTTTTCCATTTTCCAAGCACCTGCCCTAAAACACAAATAACAGCTTGGGGAGGATTGCCATTTCTAATCGCTGCAACGTTAAGCTTCTTTAGCTTTTCGTTTTATCAGGGGCAGTCGGCTAGATCAAGCAACACTTTCCCTCAGCTCCGTAATTCTGTCTTTTCTTGAATGAGAAAGGAAGGGAACACTCCCATCTTACCACTTTGATAATGTTCCAGGTCTGTAGCAAAATGTACAATTTTTGCTTAAATAATGGTAACAGTTTCCACCACCAAGCGCGTAAGAGTTATGGAATATGCTATGCCCCCTCCACCTTGGGTTGCCAGAAAGGTGGGGTTCCTCAGCACCCTGAGGACTGAGTAAGCACAGTCACAACCTTTTCCAAGATGGCAGCCAGGGCTGGCCCAATACATTTTGGTCCCTGAGGTGAAGATCAACATCAGCAACGAGGGGGGGGGATAAAGATCTCCATTGGGATCTGCTGCCCCTGTGGAGCTTGCTGCCCGAGGCAGTCGCCTCACCAGCCATGCTCTGGAATGCAACGTGCTGCTTCTGGAAGCCCATTCAGCCACTTCACTGTTGACATTTAATGACTAGCTGAAACATGGTTCCTCAGGAAAGTGTTTAGTGATGGCTCAGGTTGATACAATTTGGATTCTTTTTCCACTTCAACTATTATAAAAGCTTGTGTGGATTTGATAATAACTGGATTTAAATTGCTCTTCATTTTTAGAATGGCTTTCATTTCATTTTATTGGCTGATGCAAAGGGCAGTGCTTTGGTAGCAAAGAATCCAGTACAGAGATTTTAGAAACAAACAACTAAATGAAATTAGTGGTTCAGCTCAACTTTGTGACCCTTCATTTAGTTGCTGACTAGAAGGTCCTTGGGCAGCTGCTGAAGGGGCACCATCAAAGGACGAGGGGCTTTTAGGAGGTGTCTTTCAGGGGAATCAGAGTCTCATAAATTCTGCTCCACTGGAAAAAGCAAGAGAAGCTGTAGTGGGAACATACAGTAAAATATGTAATTTAGTATGGGTGAAACCCAGCGGAGTGGGCAATGCAATATAACTTCTCCTCCCCCCCCCCTTCCAGCCCTCTGTGGACCTCCAAAATCTGCACCAGTGGGTTGTGGGAACTTGCAGTGCCTATTTTTCAAGGGGTTTCCAGGGGCTGGAGAGAGAAGAGAAACCAGAAGTTTTGCTGCGTAAGTGGATTTCTATAGTGCAAGTGGGCAGGCACCATGTTAGTTCGTGGATATTGGTCTGTTCTTCTGTTGCATTCTGTGTTTCATTGTATGCCACTTTAAAACATTATTTTATATTTCCTAGGCTAGTTACATGGGCCAGTCCAGCATTTCAATTCCATTTTTCTTTTAGCTTTTAGCTCAGTGGAGCACATGGTAGTCTCTATTTGCGCTCACTGTACCTTGAGTGAACAAATACAGGTTTGAATGCAATTTTTTTGCCTAACGAGGAACTGGGCTCATCTCAATGTGGAAAGTGAGTCTGATCATTTTCATGCCTGGGAGTCTGGGACTCTACCTGTGAGAAGTAAGTATCACTGAACATTGGTTCTGTACTTCCTCCGTGATGATTTTCCAGAGATGTCTCTTAGCGTTAGGATCCATGCCAGAGCTTGGCTCATCCTAAAATAAAAGAAGTTGACAGCAAATGTAAAAAGTAAAGAAGAGGAACTTGTGATTTGTTGCCACTGTTTCCTCTTTTTTCAGGGGGAAACCCACTAATATTTGGTCTTCACATTAATCACTCCTCCCTTTTTGTTGTAGTTGCTTCCAGAAAAGATTAATATTATTGTTAACAATAATAATAGCAATGCTGTAATAGTAAAGCTGCAACAGAAGCATGACTAAACAGATGCATAGAATGCTTCCTAGAATACACAAAAGTTATCATGAATGGCAAAAGTCAATTGCTACTGTGTACAATGGAAATGGTTAATATTAGTGATAGATGCACATTGTTAGATAACAGCACTGGGCAGATATTATGATGTTGGGGGCAGATAATGTGTATGACTTCTATTCAAGTAGTACTTGGGCTGTGCACATTCTTACTACTCCATTTATAGATTAAAGCAAGGTTTCTGCTTTGAGCGTTACACAGACAATAGACCACAGATGAGCTCCCATATGCTATTATCCTTCAGCAGGCACCATCAGCAAAAATTGCCAGGCACTTCCGTGATTGTTTGAATTGTGATTGTTTGGTGATAACATGATATTAAAAACAGGAACATCACAGCTTGATAGTCAGAAACCAGGCTGAGTTTGCAGTTGTTCTGCTGAGGAAATCTCCTTCCCAACTATTATAAGTTCCGTCATTAACACAATACCCTTGTTCTTTATTCATTTCTTACACACACACACACACACACACACACACACACTTCTAGTGCAAATGCATCACTTGGGGTGCCTCCTTGGAAGATAAAGGAGGTGTCTAAATGTAATACATAAATGAGTGAATGAAGGACTGAATGCAATGGAGGAGGAGCTCGAGTGGCCAGTGGAGCAGCTGCAAAGGCAGGAGACCCCACAGCAAGTGGTGCAGCTTCAAAGGAGTCTGGAGGACATGCTGGATGCTACATTCCAGGATGCACAGAAGTTAATTGGGCAAGAAGCAGAGACAGTGACAAACATCCCTGACGAGAAGGGAGACTCCATGCAAGGAGGCAATGGCTCTGCCTGATCAGATGCTACAAGGGGTTGAACTTTACTGTCAACAACCCTCAGCTGAGTTTGCTATTAGAGGAAGTGATGGGCTGCCCTGTCCTCAGTGCACAATCCAGAACATAACATAAGAACCTTAATGCCCCTTAATGGGTGAGATAGTGTTTTTCAGAGTTAGAAGATTGGAGCAGCTTTGCAAATTAAACGGGAAAGAGAGGGAGAGGGAGGGAAGGAGGGAGGGAGATGGTTGAAGATGAAGCATTCTTGGGTGCAGCTATTTTCTGTACAAGATCTGAGCCAGAATTAATGGCTGTGCTGTCTGCTTTACAGGAGCGTATTTGTCTCCATTAGGTTTTGCCCATATATTCGTAAATAAGGTAAATGCTGCAAAGATTATACAAGTCTCCTATGTTCTCTCACCCAAAATAAACTATATTCTGTAGCCTACCCTTTGAACTCAGCACTTGAAGTGAGATGTGTTACCGGTATATGTTAATTGGAGGGGAGAAGAGTATTTATTTATTTAAAACTTTTATATACCACTCCAATTTGGAGCCCAAAAAATGATTTTATAAAAAGTGAATGTAGAGTGTTTCTGATTTCCTTGAGAAGGGTTTGTTTATTGTGAAACATTAACAAGCCTTCCCTATTGTTTAGTTTCTATTCAGAGCATTAATCTCATGGCTAAATGTTCTGAGTACATCTTCTCACTCTAACAATTAGTGTGGTGCCCCTTCTTGTTGCTGCTGTTTCTGTAACAGTTTAGAGAAAATGGTGAATCAAAGTCTCTCTCTCTCTTCTCTCTCTCTCTCTCTCTCTCACACACACACACACACACACACACACACACACACACACACCACACACACACAATAGTGTTGATTTCTTACCAGGAGTAAAATCGAGGGTTTTCCGAGAAGGGCCAGAGCAGTTGATAACTTTCTGTTGGTACCATAGCTACACATAGAAGTGATTCTGTGTTGGTAAGGCATCAGGTTAAGTCGATAAAGAAGCTGAAGTACAATCTGTGGAAACATATTTTGTTTTTAAGATTGGGCATTGATATGTTGTCATTGTTGCAACTCATTGAGCATTCAGGTAATTCAGGTAAATGAGTTACTTCACCAGCCTCAAGACTGCCCAACATTTATTTTGCCTCTCAGATGCCCTTTTTTCAATAGCTCAGCCTGAATGCTAGCTAATCAGCAATTTGAAACTTGCATACATTTAAATAAAACTTTGCTTAATTTATAATGAATGGAAATAACAACCCTCTTATTTTTGTTCATCCCGTTTTGTCAAATTAAGCAATAAGTATTGAACTCTAAAAACTGCTGTCATATTATAGCCTCTTTGTGCCAAACAAAAGCAGTGCATGCCTGGCTGCTCTGCCAGCTGGGAGTTAGCAAAGAAGGAAGGTGAATAAAAGAGAGTCAGCATTCACAAGACCTTCATGTTAAACTCTGCTGTTTTGTAAGGCTGTGTTTTGTATGTGTTTTTCTGTCGTGTCTTGAACTTGGCTCCTACCTTCCACCTTCTAGGCCACATTTGCCATTGATTTGACAGACGTACCGCCCAGTGAGGAGAATGCTGATTTGGTTGTCTCTCCTCCTCCTCTCCCTGCCATGATTCAAGCAGGCTCTCGGCTCTTTTGTTTTTAAAGCCCCGTATCTACATTTATGCAATCACAATGCATGTCCAGCTCTTCCTTCCTTCTGTCTTTCCTCTTTCTTTGTCAGAGGCTTTTTTTCAGTTTTGAAAATTACTTCTGGGAGGAAGCAGGTTAATAACCTCACCAGTTTCCAGCCAGTCAGCAGCACCCTGTGCAGAAGCTTCTGCCGCAAATCAGAATAAAAGGCCTCCCATGGTTTCAGTCCAGGGGAGAAGACTGGACATTTGGCAGCTGCTATCCTGCATGGCTCCCCAAGATGACGTGGCAAAGCAGAAGAACTCAAATTTAGCTGAAACCAGGGTTGAGTGCAAAGCCTTCATCTTTAAATTCAAGTGGAATGTCAATTATTAAAGGTCTACCGTATTTTTCGCTCCATAAGACGCACTTTTTCCCTCTTAAAATCTAAGGGGAAATGTCTGTGCGTCTTATGGAGCGAATGTGTGGTCCCTGGGGCTGGGGGGGGAGCACGCAGCCTTTCCGCTGCTCCCCAACCTGCTTTTGGGGGCTGGGGGGGAACCCGGGCTTCCCCCGCCAGCCCCGACAAGCTCCTGAGCAGCTCTGGGGTAGCCTGCAAAGCCTCCGCAGGGCAGCGGGGAGCCTTCATCCTGCTGCCCTGGGGAGGCTTTGCGCAGCTATCCCTGGCTTTTGTGGGAAGTGGGGGAAGGGACAGAGCGAGGCTCTCTCACTTCCCCCACCTCCCGCAAAAGCCCCCAAGAGCCACGCTCCCCTTGAAGAGCTGTGCGGAGTGTGTGTGTGGCTCTTGGGGGCTTTTCCCCGAGGAGGGAGAAGGGCAGCCCGTCAGTCCCTTCTCCCTTCTCGGCGAAAAGCCTGCAAGCGCCTCACACACACTCCCCGTGGCTCATGAAAGGGAGCGCTGAGCAGAGCCTGGGATGCATACAGGCTCTGCTCAGCGCTCCCTTTAAATATTATTTTTTTTCTTGAATGCCCCCCCCCCAAGTAGGTGCGCCTTATGGTCAGGTGCGCCTTATGGAGCGAAAAATACAGTAATTGGCACTATGCTTATTTGTCTCCCTAGAAATGTCATAGAGCTTGCATGTGTCCAGATTATAGTGGACAATGAAGCGGAAAACCTGCTATATAAGGCATTATATTTTATACATTATTATGTGATGAGTAAAATTATGCAGGTTTGTTGAAGACCATGGTTATCTCAGCCATGATATGCAAGGGAATTGAAAAGAGTTGTCCTTTCTCTTATTGTGGATGAATCTGAATTATGTGACAACACTCTGGAGGAGCCCGATCACTAATCTCTGTATATTAGCCATTGAAGAAGACACTGAAAAAGTCAAAATGCACCAGGTAACTTGACTTTCAATTCACAATCTTCACACTTGGATAGTGAAATCCTATACATGCTAGCTCAGAAGTAAGCCTTGTTCAGCTCAGCAAAGCAAAGCCCCCCAAGTTTTTTAACTCTAGGCTAAGTTGTTTAAAAATCCAGCTACTGAATGAAAATTTAAGACAATTGATATTATTTATTTAGTGTTAATCAAAATACTTTAGTAATTTGGACAAATATATGAATACATATCTAACCAAAACTCGGTGTCTCTTCAGGAGTTATCCCTATAAAGCCGAAGTATGAGTAGAACAGGATTACAGAGGGCAGTCTTTACATCATCACACAACTTCTATGTGCTCTCGTGTTTGGCTGCTGCTTTTGAAGCTGGGGACCTTCTGTACTCACGGAGGTTCCCCTCCTGTTTCCAGGGTTCTAAAATGCAAGGGGACTCTCTACAACTACAGGAGGCTCCTGCTTCCAAAGTAGAAGTTGGACATCAGAGCACCCAGATGATGATGTGATGACAGAAGTAGGGTCAATGGTTTCCCCTACTCTTGTTTCTCTCCTTGGAAGTAACACCCAAAGGGATCTACGGTGAGCAGAGTTTCACAACAGACTCACTGCTAACTTGATGTACACCTACTTACCCCTTTAATATGTTTCTCTGGGATGCCATGTAGTCGGGCATAGTAATACATATGTTCTTCCACTGTCAGCAAATCGTCCAGGGCATCCTCTTGAGGACAGTATCCAAACAGTGACCAGTGTGCATCATCAACTTCATTCAAGGACCTGAATTGATACAATTATGTGAAAGGTTTCAGTCAATAAAGGTTAGGGCTAACAGAAAACAAATACCTAAGCTCTGTGTAGTAGTAGCAGAAATAAATAAATAAATAAATAAATGTGCCCCCCCCCCACACATCTGACTGGGTTGCCCCAGCCACTCTGGCTTTTATACCCCACCCATCTGGCTGGGTTTCCTCAGCCACTCTGGGTGGCTTCCAACAAAATATTAAAATACAGTGGCTTGTTAAACATTAAAAGCTCCCCTAAACAGGACTGCCTTCAGATGTCTTCTAAAAGTCTGGTAGTTCTTCTCTTTGGTGGGAGGGTGTTCCACAGGGCGGGTGCCACTACCAAGAAGGCCCTCTGCCTGGTTCCCTGGAACTTGGCTTCTCACAGAGAGGGAACTGCCAGGAGGTCCTCGGTGCTGGACCTCTGTGTATAATTGTCATATAGTTGTTTATCTGTTTGACATCTGATGGGAGGGCGTTCCATATGGTGGGCGCAGCTACCAAGAAGGCCTTCTCCCTGTAACATCACTTCTCACAGTGAGGGAACCTCCAGCAGGCCCTTGGAACTGGACCTCAGTGTCCATGCTGAACAATGGGGGCGGAGATGCTCCTTCAGGGATACAGTGCTAAGGCCATGTCTTTGCAGACACTTTGTAGACTCAATGTGTGAAAGTGCATGCAAGCAGGGGAGCAAGATCTCACCGACTGATCTTGTTTCCTCACCCTAACCCTCCACAGAAATTCCACACTGCTTCTTTTATATAGATATGCCAAACTTCGCTGGATGTCTGACCCTTTGTAATCACTGGGAGATGTAGTTAAGTAACCATGTAAGTGTTCATGGAGTAAGGAGAACCGACTATTGATTGGGGCAGAAATGACTTGATGCAACCTTCAGACTGATCATACATTTGTTTCATCAGAAACAAGTTCAACTCAGTTCTGTGGGAATGCCTCCCAACTAAGTTTGCATTAAGACTGCCACATTGCTTCCATCTCCCATTAATAAAATGGAGAGCACAGTAAAATTGGGCATATGTCATACACCTAAGGAACTGCAAAATCATTATATTTATATTGTTTGCACTTCCTTTATGGCCAGCCTTCATGGTTAAATTTGTAACCCAAGCAAATGTCACATTAGACTTGTTTCCTCAGCTAACTTGCTTGTCTTTCATTGCTCAAAATGAATTAGTCTGTCATACCCAGTTTTATCTCGCACCAGCAGCCTTCCAAAAGATGGTTCAATGTCTCCCGTCAGCATTTTGAAGATGGTGGTTTTCCCAGCCCCATTCACACCAAGCAAGCCAAAACACTGGGTTGTTAGGGGGAAAGACCAGAATTTAGTTATAGTGCATTAATAAAGATCAACCCATTCATAATTTCTTTCAGAAAACCCAATAGCTGGAGCTAAAACAGAATTGAAAATGCAAAATCTGAAATCTTATCTGCACAGTTGTTAATTCATATGAGAAAACCGAAACAACAAAAGAAACCTAGGAAGTGATTTATGGGCTTCAGCAAAGGGACCTGAGTGTGTTTGGATGCGTTCATTTTCAGACAAAATTAATCAAAATCACAGTTCCAAGGTGGAGAAGTCAAATGCCTCAGCTGAATACTCCTGCAAACACGTTTGCTTTTTACATGCGGGATGTTTTTGATGTGAGGAACGAACCCTTTCATCTTGCTTGTAATACGGTTCAGTAATACAGTACAGGACCATATCATCTGTTTTTCCAGAATATTGGAGTTGTTTTTCCTTGAAGTTCCAATGTAATATTATGGCCACTTAGGGGAGAAATCCCACACTCACTCTCTTGCATCCCTGCTGACTGTAGCCTGGATGAGCTGTTGATTATAGACAATAACACTGTGTAGCAGCAGAGAGCTCTGAGTAAATGGCTCCCCAAATGCTCCGTGTTGGGTGCCAGCCAGCCAAACAGCCAGCCTGTGAATGTATTCCAAGGCAGTAGCAGTGTTTTTAATTGTACCGACTTACCTCTCCTGCTGGGATTCCAATACTGACATTTTTTACTGCCACAATTCTTCGGTGGGGAAGATGGTAGATTTTGGTGAGATTCTGGAGCTGCAGCATGTCGCAATCTGCTAAGCCTAATGTGACTCTCTCTCTTTCTGCTTGTACATCCTTGTCTTCCTCCTCATCAATGGCTTCCAGGTGGAATTGTGGCTTGCCATGTACTTTGTTATACATGAATCTAGCATGGTGGAAGACAACTCCTGTTAGCACTATCTTATTGTTTTTCAGAAAGGTGAACTCAAAGTGGCTGACAACACAAACATTAAAAGCAAGTGTAATGACAAGAACCACCAATATAAAAAATAGATCCAACTCAGCCCTGCCCCACTAAAAGACAATGGAAAATTAAGGGATGAAGGAGAAGGTTCCATAACAACAGATTGTGATGGCACAAGTTGTAGTCGTGTTTGATTGACAAGAAATACATTTAAGTAATGCATTTATTTAAAATATTTCTAGCCTGCTCTTCATTACTAAAAGCAATCCCAGAATGGGATACAGTAAAAATACATTAACAAACAAACCATCTCATGCAGAAGGAGCACAGCTGCTTGTTGGAGACACCTACTCTTGAGCCCTTGAAGCAGCATTTAGAAACAAGAGATTCTTATGTTCCTGACTCTGATCCTCAAAGCAGCTTTGATACTACCAAAAGTTGCTATGATGACCACCAGCTTAGACAGCTTCTGAAGGGGATTGGACAGATGCAGAGGCAAGCAAGGGTAGCTAACTTGCAGCCCTCAAGATATTCTTGGACTGCAACTCCTATTAAGCCTGACCATTGGTCATGCTGGCTTGGGACAACAATGGATGACAACACATTGGCAACTTTTGACAAAGAGAAGAAGTCAGTCTATAGCTGTCACCTTTGAGAATAAATGGAGCATTCGTTATCAGAGGCAGGAATATCTCTCAGGATGAGATGATGGGCACAAAAACCCAAAGCAAAAGCAGGAGAGGGTTATGGCCTCCATGCCCTGCTTCCTGGTGGAATCTCATGCTCTGCTGACTGAGCTATCCCAGGGGCACATACTAGATACCATCTAGAGAGAGGAATATTCCATCCCATTGAAGTCAGTGAGACTAACAGTGCAATCCTATACATGTTTACCCAGAAATAAGTCCTATTCAGTTAAATCAGGTTTAGTCTCAGGTAGGTGAACATAGGATTGCAGCCTTAGTTCAGCTTAGTGCAACAACTTCCTGCTTAAAATGGTGTGTTAAAAGAGACCAGCTCCCATAGATACGTCGGGCAAAAGATTTCTGCATTGCAGAGGGTTGGAATAGATCCTCTATCTCAGCCCTCCAGATGTTTTGAGACTACAATTCCCATCATTCCTGACCACTGGTCCTGCTAGCTAGGGATCATGGGAGTTGTAGTCCAAAAACATCTGGAGGGCCAAGTTTGAGGAAGCCTGGACTAGATGATCCTTGTGGTCCCTTCCAACTCTACTATTTTTTTATTCTGTGGTTCTGTGTAGGTCAGGTATAGTTTCATGTGTGAAAGTTCTGTAGAAGGTAGCGCCATGCCTTTGCATATACCATCTTCTTCCACAGTTGCAAAATGTGATAATGGAAATGGTAGCTATTATATACATGTCTACTCAGAAATAAAAACCACTGAGTTGAAATTGGACTGCAACCCAATTTAGCGTAAGAACTACCTGCTTATACTGGTTTGTGGATCAAGCTGAGGGACCATTCTCCTGTCTCAAGGATAAATACCTTCTTGTTTTTGGATTTCTCTAATTTTGGGGCTGTGTGCCTGTTATGTAGTAAGGCAATAGTGCGACAAGACAATTTTCTAATTCCTGTATCCAATGCACAGAAGGCAGATTGCAATGCGGGGGTGGGGGGGAGAGAGATTGGGGCAAACTGTGCTTGGCTGTTGTCATAATCATAATCTAATCAGAAATCCATGTTTGTTGCTGAAGCATTTTACAAATCCCTGGTGTAAATGTAAAACAACAAATCACAAGTCTATATGCCACATCTTGTTCCTTGTCAATCCATCATCCTGTTTCTGGAGGGCAACCAAAATGGTCAAAGGTCTGGAAACGATGCCTTATGAGGAACGGCTAAGGGAGCTGGGCATGTTTAGCCTGGAGAAGAGGAGGTTAAGGGGTGATATGATAGCCATGTTCAAATATATAAAAGGATGTCACATAGAGGAGGGAGAAAGGTTGTTTTCTGCTGCTCCAGAGAAGCGGACACGGAGCAATGGATCCAAACTACAAGAAAGAAGATTCCACCTAAACATTAGGAAGAACTTCCTGACAGTAAGAGCTGTTCGGCAGTGGAATTTGCTGCCAAGGAGTGTGGTGGAGTCTCCTTCTTTGGAGGTCTTTAAGCAGAGGCTTGACAACCATATGTCAGGAGTGCTCTGATGGTGTTTCCCGCTTGGCAGGGGGTTGGACTCGATGGCCCTTGTGGTCTATTCCAACTCTATGATTCTATGATTCTATGATTCTGATTTTGAAGAACTCTTTCCCCGCAGGTCACTTACTCTAATGTATTATGCCAGACTTTCTGAATTGTCCCATCATCGACCAAGAGGCGGATTGAAAACAATATAGTCCCCTGGATAAACAACCCAAGCAGCTTGGAACTTATCCTGTCCAACTCAAAGGTTCTGTCAGGGTACTCCACTCCATATGCTTTTAGGAAACCCATCAAGGCTTGATACTGTGACAGTTCGATCAATCCATATCCGAAACAGAATTGTGGAAATATCAGATAAATATGCCTCAGTGTTTCAGCAAGGTCATGCAAGCTCTGAAAGGAAGAAAAAATACCTTAATGTGCATTTACTTTCTAGTTTCATATATCATAAAAATTAGGAATAATGTATTGAGTTTTATAGCAAAATGTCCCTCCTGCTGGTGGTGGTGCAGAGGTATTGTACACATCCTGCTGCTAAGTATGTGTGCATCACACAGAAATTTATTGTGACCCCTTCTTCATCAACAGGCTATTCTTGGTGGAAGTCCAGTCAGCCAGTTTCACCAGAATGAGGAAGGATTTCCCTACCCCTCACTTATATGAGAAAAAGGGACTTGCTGGCTTAACCTGCTCCCATCTCAAGAAAAGGTAATTTCCCCCCTTTCCTGCCATACTTTCCAATATGCTTGCCTTTCCCCGTCGTGTATGCTTTATTTTCACATCTTGTTTACAGGTATGTAGTCCAGGCCAATATGATTCAGGTTAACTTCTGGAGATCTGGGTTGTAGCATATTCAGCCCAGTGGAACGCTTCACCTCTGGTACTACATTGATAGCACTACTGCTGCCACAGCCCATAAATGACCTTCTATTTCAGCTAGTCTTTAACACATAGATACACTGAAGACATTAGTTTCAGGTCAGCTAGCAGACAACAAAAACTGGTGCTGCAGATGGTTTCAGGCTATAATCTGGCCCAAACTATGTACAGCTGTTCCAAGAAGGGTGTGTGTGAAAATACCATCTGACAAGCAGTGAAAAGTTGGTCTTTGTGTCTGATCCCTGTACTTCGTGTCATGGAGTGAGAAATGCTGTTGACACTTGTGCTGGGCATCAGATAGGCAATAAATCACCATAGGGAGACTTAGCCAGGCACCTGCAAGGGACATATCAATGTCAATCAACAACTCTTGTCTGCCTTTGGGCAGTAAATCCTTTGTAAATCCTCTGCGTGCGCTTTCCTGATCAAACGCCTTCACGGAAAATGCTGAATGCATGTTCAAGAAAGACCTATGTCCATAATGAAAGTTGACAAGCTGGTCCATTATAAAACAATGCTTATCTTTTAGAGAAGGAAGCTGGCTTCTATACTTTCTTACTACGGTGGAAGTGCTTTGCTTTTATGTTTAGATTTAGGAATTTAGTCTACCCATCGTTACATTTTTAAATTGGACAGCATTTTTCCTAATTTGGTAAATATCTATAGCTAGGCTTCAAAAACTGTTAGGTAATCTCCCAGGCATGATGTTATCTAAACAAGATATGACAAGGGCAGTCACAGTTTTTATTCACCTATCATCCTTCTTCACAATGTGTGTTTTTGTGGTTGCTTTCTTTTTTTATAAAAGAGAAAAAGAGATACGGTGCAGTAGCTTGGGCAAAAAAATTGTAACTAGAAATAAGGACTGCGTCTTTAAGAATAAAAGCACCAATAAAAGGTGCTAGCCTGCATTGTGCCAGTGGATGCAATGGGCCCGATCCCACTGGATGTCACCCATTTATATGAACAGCTAAAAAACCCTCGCTGTTTGTGCACATGAGTACACAGTCCCAGAAAACCATCTGAAGCATACTGATGTCAATTTGTCCACGTGTACAATTTCACACACTGTGACTATCCTTGCTGCAGCTGTTGGTATTGAAGGCAATTCCCAAATATGGGCCAAGACATTTTTTGCAGCAACCAAAAGATTCATATAAAAAAGTCCACCCAGTGAAGGGCAGGTAAGAAATACACGGAACAAGAACAGCCGGATACCCCACATCTTACCCTGCCCACATCCAGTGAGGGAAGGAAACTCAGGCTGCAGAAAAAAGTGCCTGAAGCTATATGTCATGAGATTCCCAGGCAGAGGAAGAGAAGCTCTGCTCCTCTTTGACACCCCCCCCTCCTGGTTTATGCAGGAATGGTCCCACTGCAACCAGTTTGGCCAAGGAGGTTCGTTTTTGGAGGGAAGGTATGAATTCATTCTGTTTCCTTGAAATATCTTCCTTTGTTCTAAAGGTCCCAGGCACCGTCCATTGTGCTGCACTAATGAGACTTGAGAATGGTGATGCAGTTTGATACTTGAGACCTCCAGAGTGGAGAAGCCTACATGAAGGAAACCCCATCACTGAGATATATACCCACAGTACAGATTTATTGCCCTTAGATATTTTTATGGATGGTATTCATTGTAATCTGAAAGAGAAAGCCATCCTTACATAAACAGAAGGCAATATCAAGAGGTTGGCTGATTGTATTTAGAAGTTTTAGGTACAGGCTGATTTAAAGTACTCAATTTAAGCAATTATATTACATCTTTATTTAACCAGCCTCCAAACTATGTGGTACTATCAAGTCAAAACTTCCTTGAAGTATTGTTGTCTGCCCCCCCCCCGAAATAGAATGCATTTGGACAACTTCTATACATGAGAGTTAAAGGTGTGTTTGCAAGGCTCATACCTGATCAGTGGCCTTTTCTTGGGAAAGTAAAAACATAATTGAATGAGTCATGATCGTATTGATGCCAAAGAACAAGTTGATGCAGACATAAACTATAAAGGCCATTCCTGTTTCCTTGAACATTCCAGCCAGCAAGTACATCCATGGAAATGTTGCATATCTGCAGAGCATCAACAAGAAGAATAAAAAATACAATAAAGCAAGAGACCAACAAAAGCAGCAAAGTGTGTCCTTTATTGACTGACTGTGAGCTGGTTATTGTCTCTGGTAAAGAAAACAACAAAGCTGTACCATTCATCTTTTTTTGGGCAAAGTCAAAAAGAACAGCAAAGCTGGTGTTGGTCGTTGGCTTCCTTGAAATATCTATCAAGAGCAAAAAAATGAGGAAAGGATCATATTGTTTCTGGGATGAGCTTGGTTTGAGTGATTACTAAATTAATCAAGCTGCTAACTGAGGTTAGCCTGACCATTCATAGTTTGTACTTTATTTAGTTATGCCTGACTTTATATCCAAATGAGCCAGCAAGGCATCATAATATCCCAAAATAAAAAAGGGGTTCTTAAATATGTTTGGGTTTTTTTAAAGCACCAAGTGAAAAGTTATAATGGTGCAATGTTGTAAACCTCCTTTCTTACTGTGATTGTATCCAGCGGGTGTAGTTCAGCTGACGGCAAGGCTTCCATTAGCAGAACGGGTGAGGCGGCAGGAGCTAGAGAGTTCTGCTCACGATTGGAGCCAGGACGGGGTGTTAAATTCAGGTTAGGTTAAACTAAACCAAATCCTTACCCAAAAAGGAGAAGAAGTAGGAATACAGCCAACAGGTTGCTGTCATTGAAGAAAGCTGGTATCCGAAAAGCTGAAATTACTCCCACCGAGAGTGTAACAGGTATCAGAAAGTAAACCTGAAAATTACACATGGAACTGAATTAGTTTCTATTGCATGAAAAATATGAAGCATCCTTAGGACAGATACATATAATCACATCTTTTCTTCCCTCCCCTTTGTTTGATCAGAGTCACTGACATGGATTGAAATCACCACTCCACATAGGGCTAAGGTTGTGTTTCTGGTGAGGCTTTTTTATTTCAATAAAAGAAATTTTCATTATTATTTTTTAAAGCAGCATGAGTAGTCTTTTGCTAGAGACATACAGTAGTCTTTAAGAGATTTGAAAATAGTTTGAGAGAGGCATTGTTACCTGTGGTTTCTGAAAACTCTGCAAACTCTGATAACAAGAACAAAAGTGGGCTAAGCAAAAGACATCACGGAGAGCAACTCTCTCTTTCAAATTGTTTTCAACTCTCTGCAAGAACTACACATCCTGTGCCTCTTTCCACTAGGACCAGGGAGGAGGGTTCAAATCCTCACTGAGCAGGAAGCTCACTCAAGGTGTTGCTGTTTTTTAATATTGCTGATAGTTTCTTGTTGGGGGAAAGTGTAATCACTTGAGTCCAACCCAAATTCTAATTGGCAGCAGCTTCAAGACTTCCCAGTCTCTCCCCTTAATTTGAAATGAGAATTGTCTGCCAGTAGGAATTCACCGAGAAGTATCAGGTTGCAGAGTATCACTGCATTAGTTTCAGTCTGGTGAATATTGATTTCAGTTAGATCACTGTGACGTTTTCGACTGGATGATTTATAAATACGCCATTTCACGGCAAACATATGGAGTATGATAGAGGCAGGCCTATTACATGAAGGTTAGAGCCAGAAGAGTATGTTTGGCAAGTTCTTCAGATCTAACCAACTTTGAGTGGCTTGCATGATTCTTGCAGGTGCCCAGGCCAGTTGGAGGTGACTTCGGACAACCACTGGAGAAAACAACCCAGATCTAATGAATAATTTGGCAAGAGGTGGCTAAGCGTTGAAAAGAGAGAACAAGAGTATAGCCCACATAAATGCTCTCATACCCCCCCCTTCTCCTCTCCCATTGCAATAGTGCAGGCACCTTTGTCCCTGCAGGCTGAGAGACTACGAATTTCTGGGTGGTCATGCAGCCCTTGAACACTAGTACACAATATCAGAAGTAGCTTCTGTTTAAAGCACATTTATACTTCTTCCCCCCAAGAATCCTGGGAACTGTAGTTTACCCCTCAAGGAGCTGCAATTTTCAACACCTTTGACAAATTAAAGTTCCTAAGGATTTTTTTGGGGGGGGGTGAGTCATGTACTTTGAATGTTGAGTGTGTATGAAGCCTCAGCCTGACTGAGGAACCAGTGTAGTGAAGTTTTCAGCATGCCACTGAGATGTATAGAGAGAGAGAGGTTGTCAAAAAATAACTGCGACTAGATAACGATTTGACACATCCTAATTAATGGGAAGAGGAATTGAATAATTCAGCAAGCTAGCCTACTTGTTTTGTTATCTTGGACCCCTTTCTATCATTTTCCTGAACCAAGTTGTATTATGCTCTGGGGTAACCCTCCAGTTAATTGTAATAATTCAACCTCTTACTTTTGTAACTTTTATAACATTCTACATCATAATACAACAACTATCTACTCAGAAGTCAATCCAATTGATTCTATTCCGGTTATATTTTCATTCTGCTGCAATCCAAAATATTCTTTTCCCCCCTGAGAAGCTAATGCAATGCCGTTTTGTGAATCCATGAAATGTTTCTAATTTTTAATACAATTTTTTATGTTTTGAGGTTGAACAACTCTGAAAAAAGTAACCAAGCCCAGAAAAGAGGGAAAGCTTCCAACATATTTGTTTCAAAATAATTTAATAAGAATAAGAATAAAATGTTTCTTGGAAAAATATGGTTCAGAGTATTTTTGAGCAAATTTTCTGCCTAGATGTGACAGAGTTTAGAAGGTCACAGGAAACAGTCTTACACGAACAGCCATTACTCATAGTTCGTAACAAAATACATACCACTGGATGACTTTTAGACCTGGCTTTTTGCCTTTGCCTCTTTGCAATTTAACCTAAAGCAATTTTTATGCCTACAAGTTAAAAATAAAATGAAGTCTTGACCTTAATAGCGTACTGATCTTTTTATAAATGTGCTGAGCTTTATGCATATGCTACAGCCAGGGGGGAAAAAGGGGTTGTCCATGTTCTTAGCATATACATACTGTAATAGCTCTAGTTCTAAATATGTTTAAATGTCCTCGCACAAAGTTAGTTTGCTCCTATGTGGGTCAGAATCACCACCATCATTGCAGCTATTCAACTGTTCCACACGCACAGGAGAGAAAGGACAAGAACACTGAGCCCACCTCTCATTCCCGTTCTTGCACAAGTTGAAGGGATAACTTTTGTAGCAGAGAGCCTGTTCTACTTAGGGAGGCTACCTGTGTGATTTAGAAACCTGGAAAGTCCAGGTTCTAACCACACGGGGAACCTGTACAAGTATAGCAGATGGCTGGCTGCAAAAGTTAAGGGTGATGGGATACAACCAGCAGGCTCATCTTTGGTCTTCTCTCCCTACTCCAGCCCCAGGTGTTGATTTAACTCTGACACAGAACACCTGAAAGGAGCTTAAGACGTACTTAATAGCTCCTTTCAGGTGTTCTGTGTCAGAGTTCAAGGTAAATCTCAATGCTGCAATCTCCACGCTGCTCTTCATCATACACCATTTTGCAAACTGATATGTAACAGGTAAGATACTTACAAGGTCATAAATGAAGTTAGTCACCCAGTAGCTTGTCACACCCATGCCTGAGATATGCTGCAGCTGTTTTGCCTTGGTTTGATGCTCCTTGACTACATAAAGCACAAAGCTGGCTGTCGTGATGGAGTAGCCAATCAGGACGGACATGGAGACTATGATATCCAGTAAACTACTAAGCCTGAGTGGGGGAAGGTAAACAAAAGTACGTTCAAAATAAGTATGCAGACAGATCCAGCTCTAGATTTGATAGGTGTCCTGGTAAAGTGTCTTTTCACAAACACCTCTTCTTTCTGTCACCCTGGCTGGGCTTTCTGGGCTCTGGTGCCAGAGCTTTAACCAGCCACCCCTTTAATTCCCCACATTGCCTCTAACCTAGCACCCCTCTGGGGCACTGTGGGGAATTAAAAGGGTGGCTGGGTCCAGTTGGCTGGTGCCGCTCAGCAGCCCACCCTCCCCCAACCCTCAAGGGGGACTTACAATTTAAATTCCATAAAAATAAATAATAAAACCAACTTCTTACATAGCTTGTTCTTGACTCTCTCCACCAGGATAAGGATGAGCAACGACTGAGATGCCTACACAAAGAACAATAATTAGGGTTTTCTTTAACTGATCATTGAACACAAGTGCTAGCTGAGGAGCAGGAAGGTTAACAGCAGTCTATTTATGTTCTGAATGCCATGGTATTTCATCATGGGCAAGCCATTAGGTATGACCATTAGGTATTTTTAATAGTATTTGTTACCATCATTTATCCAAGGAACGATCTGGCAATCCTATATCACCAGTGAAGTCAAGGGTCAAACCAGGTGTTATGATGACAGACCTATCTTAAGTCCTACCAAACCTCTATAAAGCAGGAGATGAAATTGAAAGTAAAGCTCAAGTGGGCAGGAGGAGGGAACGGAAATCTCTTTCCAGCCACGCTTTTCACCCTGCCACTACTGCACACTGCAGCACTTTCTTTCATGGCAGGAACAGCTTCTGGTTTTGGAGCCCTGCTTTGGCCAGGGGTGGGTGGGGATGCAGCTAGGATGCAGCAGCTACAGAGTAAAAGGAGCTGACTGAGTGCAGGATTCAGTTCCCCTTTCCTACTCACCCATCCTGCACTTCCACCTGAATTTACAAGAATTGGGAGGCACTGCAGAACCAATTTTAGCAACGGGTTTCCAATGTCATGTGCTGTTTTATTCAGGGGAGCTGTAGCTTTTATTAGTGATTAGATGGAAGTCCCCTGGAAGTCGCATATAAATCACTCTTTCCAAATGAAAAGCAGGATACAAGGATAATAAGCAAGGTTTACTTGAGGTATCTGAAGACTGGTGCTCACAATTCTGTTCTTGGAGAGAAAGCCACAAGAACAACCTTAGCTGTGTCTCTTTTTAAAGCATTCCATTCTTAGATCTAAAGGGGTCAATATGGTGGTAGGAATAGAAGTTAGGACGGCGAGGGCACTTGGAGCTAGAACTCAATGGACTGGAATAGTGAAGCATTTGGAGATAATGAATGGTGCAAGATGGGGATAGGTGCAGGAGCCAAAGAATATTACAGGAGTCAGCCAGGTGTGATCTAGAATGGGCTAGGGAAAACATGTAATTATGACAGGTGTCAAAAGGATGGGGCCATGTTCAGAATAGGTGGAATGGGTGATCCAGCTGTTTTTGCACCAGGTGAAGGTGCCATCATTATGCATGATCCGACTCGTGATGAAGCATGATAAGGGGAGAGACTGCCACCTTTAACTCTTAGACTTTGCATGGGTTTGGAGATTCCAACTAAACATCAGGAAGAACTTTCTGTCAGAAAGAGCTATTTGACAGTGGAACAGACTCCCACAAGAGGTGGTTGACTCTCCTTCCTTGGAGGTTTTTAAGCAGAGGTGGGAGGGCCATCTGTCATGGATGCTTTAGCTGAGATTCCTGCATTGCTGGGGGTTGGGCTAGGGTCTCTTCCCACTCTACAATTTTATGATTATATGGGCTAATTGTATTGTTTTATGTAATTACTTTTTTTTAAAAAAAAAACCACCTTTAAATGGGAAGTGTGGTGCAGTAATTAAGAGTTCCACAAAAAGGAATGGGGAGACTTAAATGAAATCCCCACTTAGGTATGAAGTTCCTTGGGTGACCTTCAAACAGTCAAGTACTTCTAAGAATAGCTGTGAGGATAGAATTGGACTGGGGAAGAGAACGTTTTACATAGCCCTAAACTTCTTGAAAGGAAGGCGAGGTATAAATGTAATAATAGCATTTTCAAATTCTAAGTATTGCAAAAAACCAACAACACTTTTTTAAAAATGTAGATTTCTTTCCTTTACATTTATACAAGAGCTGAAATGAGGCCTGCAGGTTGGGGGGGGGGGACAAAGGGGCTTGATCTCTTAACATATTTCGAAATCACTGCAGTGCCGAGTGCTTATGTGTCATCCGTTCTTATTGGGGTCCTGGCTGACATTTGTTCTTTTGGGGGGGGGGACCTGTTTTGTTTTCTGCAGTTGGGGTAGGCTTTTTAAAATAGGTTGCCAATATGGAATAGCAGGATATTTCTTGCAGTTCATTGCAAAAACCAAAAACCCTCCAACCCCCAAATTTCCCCTTCAGTGCAGTGTTTCATGCCTCAATCAAGGAATGAAAGCAATTTCTAGTTCAGAACAAGATCTACTAACAACTAGAAAGCAATCCCCCCCCACCTGCAATCAAAAATAAAGAAGATACAGTTTGACTAAGCTGTTAATGCTCCTTCACTATAAAGTCATTTTCCCTTTACTGCAGCTTAGGCTAGAAGTCAAAATTTCCATTTCAATACATATTTTTTAGGCTTGGAAGGCAAAGAAGCACAATATACATAAGTCGAAAGCCATTATGATTTGCTTAGTGTCAGTGTAAAAAGCTCTTTTTATGTGGCTTTTTTTAAATACATGAAGCCTAAGTCAAATCTCAAAAGCAGGATTGCCACCTATTTCAAATTGCTAAAATGACAGTCAACTTTTATCTGGCCATTTCAACGGTTCTTAGGCTGTCATTTATTTGTCAAAGCAACAAACGACTTTGGCTGTTTGAAAGGTGCCATGGAGAAAATACCATCAATTCTGTCTCCAACTAGGTTTCAATAAGACTGACCTATCTAAAGTTACAAGTTCACAGCATACTTACCAGTTCCAAGTGCTTGAATGAGCTTAAATGAAAAGACTGAAAATAATTCCTGCTTGATCATGGGATGTGAGTCTTAAGACAATGTTTACTAATTAGTTTTGTCTCCAGCAGCACATATTAAGAACATAAAGGAGAGTGTAATTGATGCCCTGAGAAGCCTAAAAATTGGACAAGCCATTTTGCTGTTTTACGCCAATCATTCTTAATGGGCATGAATAAAAGTGTTATGCTTTACAATGTCACAATTCATTAGGCAATAGGCAGAAAAGAAAGCCTCTCAACCTGAAGAGGCAAAGGATGCTGCCAATGCCTGTTGAGCACCTACCATATCCGGAGGAGTTTTCTTTTGGCAAGTTCGCACGGAGAATGAAGTTATTCAAGCTGTTAAGGTAGGCTGGGAGGCTGTGATAACCTTCAGGATTATACCAGACCTATATTTAAATTTGAGAGGCAAGAGCAACAGGGAAGAGTCATTTTTTAATTTTAATTTTTGCCTTTAATAAGAAATGGTTCTTCACCCACTATGCATATGGCCTGTGTGTCTTCTTCTCCCTGCCCAACGCCACCCAAACAAGGTGCAAACAAGGTAGTTTCCCTTTTCTTGTGAGGAATCCTATTCGGAATAAGGGAATTTCCCTTTAAAAAAGGGAAACGTTGAAAGCTATGTATATCAGTGCCAGGATGCCACCAAACCAGCATCTCAGGTGTGTCTCTCGCTGTGTGTGTCTTTTGTTGTTGTTGAGGGATTTATGGTATTTCCCTCACAGGCTGTACCCCTGAATTCAATTCATGAACTCTAATCTCTTCCATGAACTGCCTTTCTGCACTTTCCTGTATTATCCTCACAGTCGCTACTCAGAAGTGCCTCAAAGATTGACCTTGAGTGATGTTCTGAACTGTGGGTAATTTTTTTAACATGGTAGTACAGAAAGCAGCCTAGATATTTTCCTAGTCCCTCCAGTAACGGAACAACAGCAGAGCACCCCACTCAGCTAGGAGGCCCACTAGGTGGTCTTGAGCAAGGCACTCATTCTCAGTCTAAACTTTCTCTTAGGCTTGCTGTAAAAATAAAACTAATATTGGTGCTTTGAGTTCCTTGGAGGAGAGAAAATGAGCTATAAATGTGCCTGGGCCTGTAATTTTACAACACTTTCTTAGGAATGAATGCCACTGACGTCAGTGCGACTCAGTTCTGACTGAGTAACATTCATGGGATTAGACTGAAAAAGACCCCCAATTTAGCAGAGTCCTGATACTTATTCCAGTCACATTCCCTCCTTCAATATACGGTGCTAACAAGGGGCAGACATAGCTATAAGCCCACTGGACTGTGTTCTCAGACTTTTCAGATTCCTGCCTCAGGAAACCCAGGTCTCAAGTCCTGAAGATGTCAAATGATCTAGAATTAGTCAGGAAAAGCCGTAACCCAGGACTGCTATAAGATGGGGGTCTGGGGAGGCTCTTTCAAAGATTCATTCAAGAGCACAAAAAGACAATAAACATGAAATGTCTTTTTTATGGAACTATTTCATGTATCTTGACAGGCTTCGCCCCTCCTATGTTTCTTTTGCTACAGGCTGCAGCTATGTATCCCTTTACACAATGATTTTTATTTGTTATAATAAAAATGTTATTGATACAAGAGACTGTTCCACCAGAACAAGTGAATAAGTGGGTGAACGAGTCCTATGCAACAGTGACACATACTTCCACCACAGCCAGTCCCATGGCACCAGCACCCCTATGTATTTGTAAGCCACCCAGAAAAGATCTTATATATAATAAATATTTTCTATTTTATTAATTAACAAATATAATAAATAATATTTGTTGTGTGCACACATTATGGTTGAGAGGGCACAGGTAAGACATTTTAATTAAACGCCTCAAATATGTAACAGATGAAATCCCTGCTGAACCTAAACATAAACACTGTAATCCCTGTTATTTGGGTGGTGGCAGACCACTGAACTTTACTCAGAGTAGACTTATTGAAACTAATGGACCTAACTTTGTTATGTTCAATAATTTCAAAGAATTGACTCTGACCATCACTTAGTTGAATATAGCCCAATGTTCCAATTTTGTCATGTAATTATTTTAGCCAGTTTTAACCAGGTTAGTTTTTATGTACCTATTTTAAACTGAATGCAATAAACTGCTTTTCTAGATTTTCGTTCCATATTTCATTCCACAACTGCAGTTTACCTTAGTTATTGTCCTGTTAGCAGGCACTGGAGTTATATCAAACTTCAGGTCATTAGTCAAAGGCAGTCCAAAACTCCAACCACCATACCTAGAGGGGGAAAATAAATACGCCTCAGGAAATACCCAGAACAGTCATAAATTACATGCTAGACAGGATTGCCTCATTCCTTAAAGGTGGGTGAAACTCTGAGGCTCAGCAGCCCAGTCATACCATGTACAGCAATGGTTGCATAAGTACTTACATTAAGGCAATGCCAAGCCAGCACATTAAAATCTTAATGAAGAATAACAATTTCAAATGGTTGTTAGTGATTTTCTTTTATTTTTAGATTTGCAGGATTTTAACCATCTCTTACAGTGAAAGCAGAGCACCAGTGAACAGGGCACCATAGAGAGAAACTCCACACAGCAATTTCCCAAATGTTGGTGACTTCAGCTGTCATCGTCATAACTCTTGACATTGGTTACTTTGGCCGGGGTTGATGGAAGTTGTAGTCAAAAACACATTGCCCACACCTCCCCTATCTACTGGGAGAACTATGGAAATGCCTCAAAATTAATCAAAATTAAATACACAGCACACTTGTAAATTAACTCCAATGACCTGACAACTGGAGACTGCATAATAAAAAGTGTTTACTGAAAGAATAAAATGCATAAGAAATAAAGAGGGGTTAATAGAATAAACAATGTACCTCTTCTGCACAAAGTCTTTGGCAGTCACTAGAAGGTATGTCTCAACATCATGGCCAGTAAGGTTGTAAATAGTCCGGGAGAAGAAAGTCCTCTTGTGAGGTGGAGAAAAGTCAACTTTTGGACATTTCTAGGAAGCAACCAGAAATTTTAACTCTTTTAGCTAAAAATCATATAGTACAACTCACTATACTGTTCCTATATCACTTGTCATTCATAAAATTTAGCTTAAAATAGGTTTGTTTTAATGTTAACTAAATTTAAATATGGATACATAAAATGTGTACAAAAACCCATTTTTTCAGCTAGGCATATTCTTTTCAGCTGCTTCAAGTACACTGGGCCAGCACCAACACTATGAATTGTGCTCAGAAGCATACTGAGAGCCAGTGAAGATCCTTTAGGACCAATGTTATATGGTTTTGGTGGCCACTCCCAGTCACCAGTCTGCCTGTGCATCCTGGATTAGTTGTAGTTTCTGAGTCACCTTCAAAGGTAGCCCCACATAGAGCGCATTGCAGTAGTCCAAGCGGGAGATAACCAGAGCATGCACCACTCTGGTGACGCAGTCGGTGGGCAGGGAGGGTCTCATCCTGCATACCAGATGGAGCTGGTAAGCAGCTGCCCTGGACACAGAATTGACCTGTGCCTCCATGGACAGCTGTGAGTCCAGAATGACTCCCAGGCTGCACACCTGGTCCTTCAGGGGCACAGTTACCCCATTCAGGACAGGGGAGTCCTCCACACCTGCCCGCCTCCTGCCCCCCAAAACAGTACTTCTGTCTTGTCAGGATTCAACCTCAATCTGTTAGCCGCCATCCATCCTCCAACCGCCTCCAGGCACTCACACAGGACATTCACTGCCTTCAATGGTTCCGATTTAAAAGAGAGGTAGAGCTGGGTATCATCAGCATACAAATCCCCTGATGATCTCTACCAGAGGCTTCATATAGATATTGAAAAGCATGGGGGAGAGGATGGAGCCCTGAGGTCCAAACACTCATTCCCCAACACTACTTTCTGGACACTGCCCAGGAGGGAGGAGCAGAACCACCGTATAACAGTGCCCCCTGCTCCCAAACCCAGAAGGATACCATGGTCAATGGTAGCAAAAGCCATTAACATAACATACTGAATTTAAGGCCCTTAAACTTAGACTATATGCACACCATGGCATTGCTACAGCCCCTGTTAAGCCCAGGTTTAAGGACAACACAAGACAATATTCTTGGTTTATATGGCACCCTCTCAATCACAGGAAGTACGGTCTAGTTGGAGCACATAATTCATTTCTTCTTTACACTCTTCCTTTCACTCAGTGACACACATACAAAGGCACACATGCACAGTGCAGGCCAGACTGGAAGTGGCGTTAATTGTGTAAATGCAATGAATGTCCACATTTTTGTTATGTATGTGGCCGCCAAGGGAATGCCGGAGAAGCTTCCCAACAGTGGGGTGGGGTGAGTGAGGGACAGGGAAGTTTGCATTTTTCATTCCCTGTCATGGTTCCATTAAGCAGAGTTAGGCAGCTGCTATGGGTGGGAAGTGGTGGCAAAATGCTGAAGGGTGGAGCAGTGTGTGTCACATGACCTGCCGTACACCTCCTAAGCTAACCAGCTGCACTCCGAAGGGGGGGGGCATACTGTTCAAGTCACCACTGTTGTACTCAAGTTCATCTGCAGGCCCACTGAGTTTCTGAATATGGCATGACATGTACGGCACGGTGGGCGGGGGCACCTTGTATTTTGCCTCAGGCAGCAAAATGTCTTGGGACAGGTCTGTATGCTGTCAACAAAAATGCATTTTTGCCAACGGGAGCTTCCTATGAAATGCAAGGAGCAGCTTCTGAGATAGGATTCTTTTCTCTTTTTTTTTTTTTGTCAGGACTATGGCAACTCCACCCTTATCAGCATTCAAAAAAATGTGGACAGTGATTGCACACACAAAATTTTGCACAGAATAGGATTTAAGTATACCCAGGGATAGCCAAAACGTTGGAGAGAGAGGACGGTGAGATGAATTCCCAACTAAGATCACTATATACTGCCAAGTGTAGGGTTAGGTCTAGGAGAAGCACTTGGAAGTCAAATTATATCTTTCCTCTTTTGGTTGAAGCCTTGAAAGCACTAGAGTCCAACCCTCAGCTGTAATATCTTCCACAGGCAACTGCAATTCCCTTCTTTCCAATGAGATTAAGATCACAGTCCATAGTATTATGGAGCAATTCCCACTGAGACCAGTGGGATCGGGCTGTGATGCTTTGCCTAAATGGGATTTAAGCAGCCTAACTGTGCATAGAATTGCAACCCAAGGTTCTAAACCCACACAGCATTATTTTGAAATAAATTCCACTGAATTTAATGGAATTCATTCTGAATACATGTGCATAGGATTGGACCATGAAGCAGTTTAAATCCATGAACTCTGTTTTAGCTTGTTTGAACCAGCTCTGTGTTTGTCCAGCATTCAACACATCAAGCCACCTTGGAGTCTGCAGCCTTCCCCAACTTGGTGCCCTCCAGATGTTTTGGGCTACAACTCTGCTGCCTGGGACTGATGGGAACTGAAGTTTAAAATATCTGGAAGGTACCAGGTTGAGGAAAGTTGAAGGAATATAATAAAAAGAAGGATATCCGTTTATACCATAATTGGTTCCTAACTAAAAAAGACTGAAAGCACAGCCGTATTTTCAATTCCAGGTAGTGACAGACAGTGGACAGTAACTCCTGTCACCAAATAAATCCAACGTATGTAGCCCATGTTCAAATATGCAACCCTTGGAGTCAGCCACTTGCTCCTGAACAAGTTCCACAAGTCCCTGATGTTTATTTCATATTTATCTCCTCTCATTGAGTTTTAATTTAACGTTACCTGTCTGGTGTCTGTGCAGTTGCAGGCAGAATACTGAGCACTCTGGTTTCCACTGAACACCCACTCTCCAGGCACGTCTTCCTTGAAACATGCTCTGAAAATAAGCAGATTTAACAATGACATTTCCTGTTGGCAGGTGTGCAGATGACACATGGTAAGAAGGTGGCAGATTCCTATTTAATGCAGGGCACTTGGCTGGAGATCGCCTTTATTTATTGATTCTCCTGAGAGCCCCCAGCAAATCCCACTCGCTTCAAGGGGAGCGAAGTTCACTCAGCCTGTCTAGTTCTTAATGGTTCTGCCTATTGCTCTGTCAATCTCTTTTCAGTCATTGAATTGTGATATTGATTGCAAAGGTCTAATGAGACTTGCTTTAAATTCCTTAGCAAGAAACTTTAGAAATTAACATTAAAATAACAACATTTTCTTAAAAACATAATGGAGCGCCTGCCCTGAGGCATTGCATGGGTAAAGCATTAATTGGATAATCCTGTGATACTTGCTTAATCATGTGCAGTCTGCACAAATACTTCCCTAAGCAAGAGAATTGTGCTAAGTCAGTTCAGGGATAATCAGAAGCTACTGCCAAGGCCCAAGATGAAAATCCATCATGCTTTCCCACACACAGATCAGTCAGCACAGATGAGACATGTGCTTCAATAGGTGTTGTCAGGGGACTGCCATCGGAACAGGGGAGGGAGGCAGGGGGGCCGTTGGGATACAGGGAGCCGCAGAAACTTCTGAGGAGCAGTTCCTCGTCCACCTCCAGTGGAGAAGAGAGGGAAGGGGCCAGCCAAGCGAGGAGAGGGCTCAAAGATGCTGCTGAGAGCCCAAGCGCCTCACCTAGCCCAGCTGGTCAGGAGGGACGCACGCCACTTCCGTTGCCCACCTGGCGCAGAGGGGTGAAACGTAAGGAGGGGAGGCGGAGGCTTGGGGTGTCAAAGTTCTTATGTTGGGGGAGAAACCGGAAGGGGCCACTCCCAGATTCTGCAAGTGACTAAGATGGACATGAACCTTTTAGCTCTGCACTGTAAATAGTTTGCACAATAAAACCTATAAAAGACAGGTCGGAGTCCTGCCTGGTTACTCACGAGCAACCACCACCAGCACCTGACAGGTGTGATACAGAATCTCCTACCCACCTTGGCCCATGCCATCAATGTACAAATATTGCTTGGGCAGCTAAGGCTACAACCTCACACACTTTTACCTGTTAGTGAGCCTCCTTGAACAGGAAATCCATGGCTGTAATCGATGCCTATTTTCTTCAGACTGAGTCACATTGAGTGCAAAGAGTCTTACTTCAATGTAAACATGCATAACTTTGGGTTGCATAAAATTTATTAAATTATGTGGGCTTGCTTCTGGGTAAATATGAATAGCATTGTGAGGAAGGTTTAAATTTAGTTGAAGTCATTTGTTTTGCATCTAGGTACTGAACACAGAATGGATACCAACAGAACTTTTCAAGTAAGTATGCTTTAAATATCAGCCTTAGTAAATGCAAAACATTTTAAAAACTACATTCTTTAACAATCTGACAGTTGCTGGAGACCTGTTTCTAAGAGCATCATAGCTTGGCAGATGGTGAAAGAGTGCCCTTAATGCATGATGACTCTTAATTTTTGGCCACTTCCCTTCCCTGATTAGGAATTTAAAAGAAGAAAACTGCTACTTACAAATGACTTTTGTTCACGCAGGTGCTATCTGATCCAGGAAAAGAAAGCAGCGAAGCAACCAGAGCATCAGTAGTCTCATTATAATTTCTACGGTTTTTAAAAAGTACAAAAATTGTTAATTGAACTTTCATTAGAGTCAGAACTGATACATAGCATATAAACTGAATAAAATAAGCATAGTCAAAGTCAAACACTATTTTATATCCCAGTGCATAAAACACGAAATAGATATGAAGTTTTGGCACAAACATTCGTTTACTAGGTTCAAAGTTACACATATAAAACTAATGGTTTGCCATATAAAATTTACGCTGTGACCCTATAACCAGTTTGTGAGCAATTCTTCAATTATCTACCCTAAAGAAATTTTCCTGTATCACTCATAAGTCCTGTTTCAAATAAGAACAATAGCTTTTATCTCAGAAGCAAATTTCCCAGCTCCCATGTGTCTTTTTCAGGAGGGGACGTTTTCTGACATGAGAGAGAAAAAAGTTTCTGCACAGTACGCAGGAGTCATTCTTCTGAAGTGTTTCCCTGTAAACAGCCCCTGAAGGTGAATCCACAAACTGCTGCTTAGAATTCAATTCATCTTGAACTGAAGAAGCAGTTCAGCACAAGGAATGTGTTGATATAGAAATTCATTTTAAGGTGGGGGGGGGCAGGAAGGTGTATGCACAGTGATAGCAGTTTTCCTATCTGCCGGCCTTGTGCCAAAACTTTTGAAATCCAGAAGAATATAAAGTAGCAATTGAAAGTTTACTAAAGAGCTGCTGATATGAAAAGGTTTGAAAATAATTGTGATGCTCCACATTTGTGCACTACTGAATTAAACTTTTAATGTTTCGAGGCTTCAAATCTGTGGAATTTGTCAGTCAAGAGATTTCTGGGTAATCTCTTTGATAGGTAAAAAAATTCAGACATAATTTCTTACTAGACCTAATCATATTGTTGAAGTTAGAGTGTGTGTGTGTGTGTGTGTGTGTGTGTGTGTGTGTGTGTATACATGTGCACACACACAGGTTGTCAGACTGGCAACCTAGAGCCTCTTTTGCCTTTAAAGCTGCCCCTGACAACTCATGAGCTGAAAGGCAACACCTGGCTGTGGAAACCAAAGGGAGCTCATGTTCCTGACCAAGAGGTGTGAGAGGAAGTGGGACTACTGGGTCTGCAGAGTTCTGTTGTGTTGTTGAAGGGCCCTGATTCACACACAAAACCCTACCGACCAGCCAACAGCTGTGCTCCTGCACTTTGTTGACCCAGCCTCTTAGGCCATCACTTGGTAAGCTGAGGATTTGTCCCACAAGAAGATCCCAGAGGCTTTCCCAACTCTAGAAAACACTGGATTACAGAATTTAATAAAATGTCTTCCTTTTGTCCAGCCCCTCTTCCAACTGTCATGAGCCAGGAGTCAGTTTTGCCTGAAGGGGCAGAAGGTAGAATGACTCCATCAGCAGCTGATCACCCTTCAAGGACACAGAGGAGAAGGCGCTGGTGAAAACCAGCTGGCTTCGGCCTTCTTAAGCAGAGCTTCCAGCAGCAATCAGGTGCTGGTAACAACGCTTTTAGTTTGTGGCCCCACCATGCTGCTGCCTTCTCACCTTGACCTTTGACCCCCAAGATCAACATATTCCCTTGGACCATTTGAACACGTGGATTGCTGTTCGCCCGACCCTAGGATTGGACCTGACTAAGAGACTTCTGGTTGGCTGGGCTCCCCTTCCACTGAGCTCTGCACGTTGTTGCTCAGCAACAAGACAACACCAACCATATTCCTAGTATACCTCATTATGATACTGTTTTTTGCCCCCAGACTAAGTCACTTAACCATATGGCAGACCTTGGCCATTATACCTGGTCCATAATGCTAGCTTTAATAACATAAAAAGGGATATTCACCCAAAGAAGTCCGCCTGCTTGGAGGAACCATACAAGGATGGGGAGAGGTGGAGCGCTGGATATTCCGCCACCTTACTTCTCAAGGTGCCGAGGCCCATGGCAGCAGTCACAAAGAGCACAGGAAGGATGACCTGGGCAATAAAGCCTTTCACATTGCGGCGTGTGTGATGGAACCTCTTAATCAGCAAAGCTGTGGCCTTCCTCAGCAAGAGAGGAAAGCTGTTTGACTTCATCGGCTTAACCAGCGCTTGGTCTATTGAGCAAAAAAGGGATGAGCGAGATATATAAGTACTGAGCGTTGCTCCCTCCTCACACTTGCATTCATCCAGTTTACCCTGACCAAAACACATGGGTTGGTTTAAAATGATGCTACTTCTCTTTTACTAATTTACATCAAAAATCCTTGATTTGGGGTAGCTTCTGCACCAGTGCTGCTTTCCCAGGAGAAATCTGTGCTGGAGCCACAAGCTTGATGGCCAGCCAAGATGGCCAGCTCATTGTCTAAAGCAGAGTTTTTTTCGCACTTTTGTGACAAAGTGTGTCGGTTGCAGTGTGTAGGCGTGAATGCTCCTGGCACTCCTCCTGAGGCTGGAAAAGGGTTAGCTTAACCTCCCGCTTGCTAGTAAAACTGAATTACTGTGTTGCAAAATGATGCATGTCTAAAAAGTGTGTCACCAACATGAAAAGTTTGGAAAGCTCTGCTCTAAAGGATTTTTTTTTAAGTGCCTCAAATGCACTCACTTGGCACTCTGACACCTGCGGCACAAATTGCCACCTCATGGCAGATGTATGGAATTATGTGCTGCACATGGATGGTGCACTCAACACGGGGCAAAGAGTTCTGCTGGCATGTAGAAGCCTCACATGAACTTTTTCTAAGTGCTGCTTACCATACTAGTAGTTTTGTACTAAAGCACCACACCAGAGGGTCTGAAATGTCCAGTGCAGATAGCACCAAATCAGACAATGCAGCTTTGTGTTAATTCCTGCTGTTCATTAATTAGCTAGCCTGAACATTAAGTTTTTACAAACTTCTGAGCTCCAAGTAGTAAGGTGCTGTGGTAGCTAGAGTTTTGGAGACAGGCTGGGGTGGATGGTTAAAAGGTAAAGGTAAAGGTACCCCTGCCCATACGGGCCAGTCTTGACAGACTCTAGGGTTGTGCGCCCATCTCACTCAAGAGGCCGGGGGCCAGCGCTGTCCGAAGACACTTCCGGGTCACGTGGCCAGCGTGACATCGCTTCTCTGGCGAGCCAGCGCAGCACACGGAACGCCGTTTACATTCCCGCTGGTAAGCGGTCCCTATTTATCTACTTGCACCCGGGGGTGCTTTCGAACTGCTAGGTTGGCAGGCGCTGGGACCGAGCAATGGGAGCGCACCCCACCACGGGGATTCGAACCACCGACCTTTCGATCGGCAAGCCCTAGGCGTGAGGCTTTTACCCACAGCGCCACCCGCGTCCCAGGGGTGGATGGGTACATGTGTTCAAATTCCTGTTCTACCATAAAGCTTACTGTACTGCCTTGGGCACATCACTCTTTCTCAGCCTAATCGACTTCACACTGTTGCTGTCAAGGTTAAAGAAGGGGAGCATATACACTATCCTCATTCCATGGATAAAGAGTCGTCTTTAAAAAAAGGTCTAAGATCCATAGGTCTCTATGCTTGATGTCCTCCAGCTGTGGTTAAAGCAGGAGGAATGGAATAGTACCAAAAAAATTACCATTTAAACAAAGTAAAAAAATTAAACAAAAAGTGGCTTACTAACACTGCTGCTCCAGTGCTCCAAACTGTACAAACCCTCTGCTCAACCTCCTCCGCATGTGGGAAGTTGGCCCTAGAACAGGGGCGCCATCTTCTTAAAGGGATTGAGGGGGCAACGTCACGACATCGCACATCTGAAGCTAGGGGGCAGAGCCAAATGCCCCCTGAATATTGAGGGGGCTCAGCCCCTTCAAAAAATACTTGGGAAGGAGGGGCCAAAACTGGCTCAGCCCCTAGGAGTTGGTGCGCTCACCCTAGACCCACAGCCAAGACTGGAGGAAACCTACAAATTGCGGAAAGGTGCTGCAGTGCGTGTCAACTGACCCATCAGTATCACAAAAGTGGTGCAACCTGGCCATTCCCAAGAATGACATGAGAGGCAATAGAGACATGTTAGTGCTGTTTTTTCATTTAGTTCAGTATTGCCTACTCTGACAGACCGGATCTTCAGGATCTCTGGTATAAACATCATTTGCTACTGGAGATTTTGCCTTTTTAACTGGAGGTGCCAGGGAGGGAGGTGCTCTGCCACTGATCTATGGTCTCTAAACTCATGAGATATGGCCGTCACAAAGTTATATGGGAAGGAAGCACGAAGAGGGCATTAGCTGGGAGGTAAAATTTAAAGGCTAGAAACAGCTCAGGCAAGGAAGATTCGCCTGGAGTTTGGCTCAACGCCTAACTCCAGAAAGGAGAAGCAAAGGTCAATGCTGCTTAATTCGTTTTCCTTGGCCTGAGGAAGAGCCTCAAGCCAAAAGCTCTGCGCTCCCTCCCAAATCATCCTGTAGCTGTTCAAAACATGATACTGGGGGTTGCAACCCAAATACATATTACAGTCTGTATTGTGCAATTGCAGCACTCATTGGACCCACGAATATTCCCAAATGCAATGAGAAGGGGGTTGGGGCCATTGCAAAGTAACGGCTGAAGGATTATGAAAACACAGAAGCAAAGTTTCAGATTTCAATCTCCATAGAGACTTTACAACGGCAGGCATTTTTACTTTTTCTAGGTAAAATGTTCAGCCTTTATGAACTACATCCATCGGCAATAAGCCATACTTTAAATTTGTACAAAGCAAGCCGCAACTACAAGATAATACGTGGGACTCCAAAAAAAGACAAGAACATTGCCTCTTAGTATGTAAAGATATAAAATTTGCCATAGTAGAAAGGGTGTGTCAGAAGGAAAATGAATATATATTGTAATGTTTTCATTAATGCAACATTTTTGTATGTAACTGTGTATTTTTGAAATATTTTCTTTCAGTTGCCTGTTGTTGCTTCAGTTTTTTGTACACCACTTAGGGACATTTGAAATCTATTAAGCGGAATAGAAATTAAAACAGTCAAATCAAATTCTCAAATCTTAATTGAGATGATATGCTGCTATCCACATTAGATTATCTACATTGACACATAGAAAGTGCAGTTCAGCTCTCAACCAGCCTGATTGATAAACAGCCATGAACTGCATATATGTCACTGAATCATGATTTTCCTACCTTAAAATGCTCCTTTGCATGTAGTCATAGGGCCAGTTCAGAACATGGAGCTCCTCCATAGATACAATTGGGTGAAAAAAGTGGTGTCTGATCTGGCGCAACCATGTGGATAGCAGTAATTCATGTGAAGAAATTGAGCCTTATTTTCTTTTACCCGACATATTTACCCATTTTTAATGCAACAAGATTAACCACTGGAAAGCAGCGTCAGTTATCAGTGTGGCCATGATGAGTCACAAGTTACTTTCTCCTCACAGCTGTATTTGTATTATTTGCTTGAAACTCTTGAGAAACTTTAGGGTACCGAACTAGCCAACAGAAAATAGGGTTTACCTAGTCAATTATGATACTCAGCCGCCTAAGGTATTTATGGAGGTAATTGTCCGAACGTGGGGGCTCACATGATTTGCCCATTTTTATTTGTAGGCTAGGGACCTTCTCTCTGAAATCTAACGTTTTTATGGCGGAATCTTCAGTCATGTGAGCATCCACCTACATTGAAGTAGTACACTCCAGGCAGGGGTTTACCTCCTCAGTTGGAACTAGGCCTATAATTCAAGCTGCTTTTTCAGACAAGCAAAAGATTCTTTAAGCAACTTGCAGCTTCAGAGCTCTGATTTTCTTTGGATGATGCTCTCTGGTCCTGGCAACGCTGGTTGCCAGTTGGGACTTGAATTGCTAGGTTTACAAATGAAGCAAAAGTGACACTTTAACTCTCACCCCTTCCCCAAATGGTTGACTGTGAAAGTGCCTGTTGTGTCCTTTAAGACTGAATCCATATAAAGTTTATTTACTTGGAAAACCCCACCAAAATAAATGAGATTGAGTCCTCAATAAATGTGGTTACAATTGAGCTGTAAAGTTCCTTTACTATGGCAGATCTATGACCCACCCAGTCAGCTTGATAAACTTCCGGCTTGTCTAAACAGAGTCAAGGATCTAGGAGGCTTATGAGCTGCATTAATTTGTGGGAGGTGGTTCCTGAATTTTGCAGGCCTGCATTACATCGTAGTTAGTGCAACTGCTCTTTCTTGCATGCTAGAAGCCTGAAACTTTTTTGGGCGAAACTGTACACTGGGGTAAGATTTCATAGTCTTTTTTTAGCCTCTCCTCATTGAAAGTTTTTCATAACAGCATAGGAAGCTGCCTTATACTATGCCAGAGCATTGAACCATGTATCTCAGCACTGTCTACATTGACTGCCAGTGGCCGCCCAGGGTTGCAGACAGGGCTTTCCAAGTCCTTACTGCAGATGCTGGGCTTTGAACCTGGAAGCGTCCACATGCAAAGCAGGTGCTTGGCTGCTGAGATAGAGCCTTAGCCTGGAAAAGTGGGGAAATGAGATAAATGATTTGACAACTGCATCCACTATTCTTGGTTGGCAGGGGGAGCAAGTGTTCTAAGGTGTATTCCTGAGAATCCTCAAATTTTTAGCATACACTCACCACCCCCAGAGGGGCCTGCCCTAGGAAACAGGAGTCCTTCCTTAGCCAATGCAAGTTGACAATGTAGACAACTATTTAGCTGCCAGGGACCTAATCATGGATAAATACCATCTCTCTCAGTGAAGTTATCGGCGTTCATGGAGAGATCGTCTGTCTCCAGATTGCAACTGGCCGCCTCTTGGGACAGCTCCACATCAGCTTGTTCATCTTCTGCCAGGTCTTTGGTCAAATTCAGAAATACCTGCATAACGGCAAAACAAAAATACTTTTATTTCCGTTCCGTGAAGCCCTCTTACAGATGTAGAAGGGGGAAGAAGACACAGCCCAGGCAAAATATTACAAGCAGGTTGAGGTGGGGGGAAGCACACAGACGTTTTTTGGACAAAGGGTTTGGTGTACACTCTGTTAAAAGAGAACAGTGCCCGTTCAGAGTCTTCCGACAACTGATAATTCTGTGAATTCAAAAATATTTCTGTGAATTCAATATGTACATATCTTTAAACAAACTTCTAGCACTAAATCACCACTGAAACTAAACAGATGGGGAAACAGGAAGACTTGAGTTGGCATCTTCCTCATCATCCACATCTTCTTATATTCCTCCCTAGAGTAAAGAGCCTTGGATGTAAGTAAATAACCCATTGCCAGGGGTCAGAAAACCCTGCTGACCAATGGAGGTGCTGCTTGTACATGCTGGCATCTTTGCCGCTGGCCAGTCATTGAGTCAATTTGCACCATCTTTTGCTCCATCTCTGGAAAGTAGAGCTTGGAGATGGCTATAAATAGTCCTATGCACCTGATTGTAATTCTCCCTTTATGTAGATTGATGTATGCATTAATAAATAAATTGAATGCATGTTCATATATTTAAGGGGAAATCAGGGCAAAATGTTCAGTACCTTGGCTTCGCCTTTGTAGCTCCCAGTAGATTTATTTCTTTAATAAATGTGTATCCAACCTTTTGGTAAAATTATTATCAGGTGGTTCACAAGATTTAAACTGCCCCCGCCCAACAAAATTGAAACAAAACAACAATCAATAAAACTTCAGCATAAAATAGCAATAAAACAACCAGATACATAAAACTTATCAGATGTTTAAAAGTGTTTAGATGCTCACTTCTTCCACGGTGCTGTCTGAAATTCCAAAGCAGCCAATATGGAGGTCACTCAAGCCACTGTCCAGACCTCTCAGGAGAGACTGGTAGGATGAGGAAACTTTACTGTTAAATGGGGGGAGTGCATATACAAGCTCGCCCCCAATGTCTTCCTTGAGATAGGCTTCTGGAAGATGAGACTGGATCATGGCTGTCACTGCAGAGGTATCACATTCTTCTGTGAAGTTTAGAGTTGGACTCTAGGGGAAGAAGGGAGGAGAACACAGCGCACTAAAGCTATTGCATGTGAGGATTTGGTTCTCCAAACATATTTCTTTATTAATACCAAAGATACTACAACCCAGGGGCATTTAGTGGAGCTGAAAGCTGGCACATTCCGGCCAGGCAGACAAAAGAAAGTTCTTCTTGACACAGTAGACTGTTATAGAATTCATTCCCATAAGATATAGTGTCAGCCACCAACTTGGATGGCTTTAAGTGGGGATTAGCCAGAGAAATGGAGGAGAAGGCTAGTAATGGCTCCTACTCACAATGGAGGCAGAATGGCTCTGCATACCAGTTAATGGGGATCCCACGGAGGGGGGGGCGTGCTGCTGGGTGCAAGTCCTGCTTCCAGGCTCCTCCTAAGTACAGGGTGCTGGGTGACAAGGCCTCTTTGGCCTAATCTAGCAGTTGCTTGGAGGTTTTCTTTATAAACAAAAGTTTTGTTTTGGCCAGTCAAAATGTGACACAGTAGCACATACCTACTTTATTTCTTTTCCATTCCAGCACATCCCTAACTATAAGAACTCTGCAAATATGTTAAAATAGAATTGCTCCACTACCTCCCACCTCACTCCCTGGATCAATCTCAGAATGAAATTACAGGTTAGGCAATGTTTTAAAATTATTTACTCCACATGTTTAAAATCCAGGGTAGTCCAGGGTAAAGGTTACTTAATGCTTTCAGTTCCATCTTTTTAAGCTCAAAATTTCCCTCCACAAGTGCGCTCTCTCTCTCTCTCTCTCTCTCTCTCTCTCTCTCTCTCTCTCTGTGTGTGTGTGTGTGTGTGTGAGAGAGAGAGGGGGGGAGGGAGGATACACTGTGAAAAAGCAACTCAGGAATGGTGATTCTGACATGGATTTCTATCCACTTGCACTTCCTCCAGTTCAACTTTCTTTTTTTAAAAAGCAATGTAGGAAAGATGCACAAAACCCCATCCAACTGTAGCCATGGTCAAATCTGCCTATTTCCAGGTGATGCCACTTTTGCAGATTTTTACTCAGTTTTGTTCTCCTTCCAAATCAGAAACCATTACAAAATGAATATTTAAATACATATTTTAAAATCAATTATTTCTCTTAAAACATATTTAAATGCACCACTTGGTAACCCTAAATTTCTGTGAACTGTGCTGCAACATTTGGAGGAGTGCAAAATCTGGTGGATAGAATTATGGATCAGGCAAGTTCATATCAGGACTTGCAAAAAATGCAATTCCTCAAGCATCCCTGATTTTGAGTTTAAATCAACCATCAGATACTGGCCGAAGGGGAATATAGTTTGACACTATATTTCCTGGCCCGCTCAAAACATGCATGCAAATGCACTTTCTCCAGCAACTCAAGAAGAGACATTTTATTATTCTAAACAGCCAAATGAAACTATAAAAGCTAAATTTTCAAAGAGAGTGTAACTGGACAAGCACTTGGCCATTTCTATACAAATAGCTAATCAAAACTTAAAGACACCATGGGGAGAAGCTGTTATGTGGTCTGATCTCTCGATTTTACCATTTCCTGTAGATTCATAACAGCCACTGGATACCTTTTTAAAAAATCATTTCCATTAGATGCCATTTCTTCACTTTCCTCCTTAACACAGGGCAATTTCAGGTTTGAAAAGCATTAGATATTTTCACACCCCATAACAACATTCAAGTGTTTTGCATAACAATTCCAAACCTTTCTTTTAGTCAGGGTCAGGTGGTATCCACTGCCAAAAGTTTCCTTCAGGTAGAATGGGGACCCACAGCACTTGAGCCCACCGTGTTCCAAGAATGCAATCCTGTCACTCAATACCTCTGCCTCATCCAAGTGATGGGTGGACAGAATGATTGTTCTGCCTGAAAAAAAGCACACAGAAAAGGCAGCATATATCAATCAATATGTTGCAGAGGTGTTGCAGACAGCAGGAAATGCGACAGGGAAATGGGAAACAGGGACTCGTGGGATAGTGTCTGCTCTCTAGGAGATGAATTGCTCAGACTGAAAAGCAGGCCCTCGCCTGAGGCTTTATAGGTCTGTGTGGGGCTCAGACGATTGTAAATGGCATCCTCTGGGCAATCCATTTTGGCCTGCAAGTCACTGATTATGAATCCTGAATTAGCGCTTTTGTCACTTGAGAGTAACTCTAACTCTGAGGTTCCATCTCAAACTCTTGTCTCTCTCTCCTCTTAGTTGCTGCCTGGATGGAGAGAGCTGTCAGGTGGAAAACAGGAAAAAATCCTGGCATGCAGGTGTATGGGAAGCAGCACTTTCTGAATGCTTGACCCAACACAGCAGAGTTAATAATGGTCAGGCAAAGAAAGACAAATTTTTAGGCACGTGTTCTTTGTTGATTGATCACATCGGTAAGTCAGCAGTTATTGCAAACCCCCTTATAACACATGTATCTCTGTGCATAGGACTAATTAATCAGATATTATGTATGTACCTTACTGTTATTTTTTGTAGCTAACAATCCAATAATATTCACTCTCTGTGTTTTTGTTTTTCTGTAATGTTTATGTTACTGCTGAAAACCAATAAAACACATATTTTTAAAAAGAATACTTTTTTCATAAGATTCACTCCAGACATGAGTTTCAACAATGACGCAAGCTCACCCTGATCCCCCCCCAATTTTTTATTGTGTGTATGACAGTATTAACTTCTACTTTTGCTTTAAACAGCCAGGTTGTCAACTTTTCTGCCCACATTACCTTTTCTGTTTTTTGAAATAATCTCCCAAATGCCTCTCCTTGAACATGGATCAACCCCAGTAGTTGGCTCATCCAAAATCACCACTTTTGACCCCCCAAGGAGAGCAATGGATATTGATAGCTTTCTTTTCATTCCTCCTGATAAAGAGCCGGTCAGCTTGTGACGATGGTTGTATAATCCAGTTTCCTTCAAAGTCCTTCAAAATAGTGCCCAGGAAAAGGTAAGAATAAAATATGTTTCTTTGTGTGTAACTAAAACAAAGGAACCTATATATATCAAAGCGCCAACAATACAAATGAAAAACTGCTGTCTTAGAATTGACATAATCCAAAACTGTGATTTAACATGCTCCTTGGACTTGATTTCATTTATCGTTCTTTTTAAGATGTTTCAGAATTTCTAACCAAGGTTAAGGGCTCAGAGCTGAATCACAATGTATTCTGGCCCGCTTCCAAGCCCCCCAGTGACGCAAAGAAACTACAAACTCATTTTGATTGGATGGCAAAGGTTGATTAATATCTCTAAAGTGGCATGAAATAGCCTTAGAAAAACTGGTCGGTAAAAGCAAACAAAAAGGACAATAATAATGAGGAAAAGCTACTATGCAAAAGCTACTGTTCTTGGCAACAGGGATTAGCTTGTCTTGGATTAATGTCATGAAACCCTGATTTCACCACCAATATTTCAGTATTATTCTGACTCAGCCAAAGGAAAGAAGCACATTTTTAATCCAAAGTATACCCTGCTCAGAAAACCTCCTAGTAATTTAGGAAACATCATTTCCTCCATGCAGTCTTTTTATGCCACTTTGGATACAGAAGTCAACTAAGTCTTGAGACAGAAAATCGGTGTGGAGATAAATGTTGTGATAACAAAGCAGCAAAACCAAGAAAGAACATGATTGGATTTGGATTTGGTTGTCTGCAGCTAGGAATGTGGGGGAGAAATTTTATTTGGATCTCATTTTAATGTGAACCCACCAAATTCACACTTGTTCTCCATATAACTACTTTGATGTACCTTTCTACTTCCTCGCGTAACTCCTCCTTACTCCAGTGGGGCACCTTGATGTAGCCATATAAAAGCAGGTGTTCCTTTGTGGTTAGGTAACTAAATAATACATTGTGTTGCATGCAGATTCCCATGTTTTTCCTGATTGTATCCTGGTCTGTTCTGATATCTTTACCATAAACAAATATAGTGCCAGATGAAGCAGGGAACAAGCCGGTCAGAATAGATCTAGAAATAGGGGAGATAAGGAACAGTTGAGACAAATATCCAGCGTTTCATCCCACAAGTTATAAGAGCTAGTATAGTGTAGTCACGACACTCTGGGGTGGCCATGAGGCTGAGCTATGAATGAGGAAACCCCTTTAAATCTTCCCTCTGCCATGAACTCCCTAGGTAACCTTAGGAAAACCTGCCTCTTTCAGTTTCAGCCCTGAATCTGTAATATGGAGCTAATAATAACATGTCTTACGGGATTGTTATAAGGATTTCAACAAAACAATGTATGTAAGGCATACACGCTAAAACAGAACTATGTTTGCAAACACTGCTAGATGATGAAATGTCACTGCAAAGGAAGTCACATCCTCACTCTGCCACGATCCTTTTAAGACCAGTTTACATGTACACTGTGAGTCAGGAGGATGGATGCCGGTCTCCCTTTGGTCAGCACAATGCAAGCTATTATTGATTGTCCAAACCAAGATCCATACTTTTTCATTGACTTTGGTTTTCCTTTGATAACTAAAACATTTTGCAGTCTGCATCCCTCTCAAATTGATTATTTTAAAAAATCAGAATTTAAATATTTCAAAATTGTCGATATGGAAAGCTATTGTGAGAAAATTTCATTTCAGCTCTCTGTCATAAGGCTCCACTTTGCTGACAGAAGGCAATCGCAATAGACTGATCTGTAACCTATAGTTCAGATCCTGGAATATATTTTAGTTGTTTGATCAGAGATATGCTTATGCAAAACTGGAGCTCCGCACTGAGATATCATGCACAGAACAGGGTATTCCTAGAGACTAGCAAAGCTGAAAAGCTGCTGGATTTACCCCAAAGGACTTTTGCACCCTGCAAATTCAGACGGTCTTAGTTTGATGGGAAATGACAGCCACTGAGTTAGTGTGGAGGATGACTAGTACAAGCTGTTGCTGCATGTCATTCTCCCGCTATGAGCATAAAAAGAAACACCAAGCCCAGCTGCTGCAGCACACAGTTCTACAATAATTCAACAAAATGGGAACCTTTAGCATCCACAAGTGTTACTGCTGATACTTCTGTTGGCCTAGGAGCAGAAAAGCCAGCAGAAAAATCAGTAAAAATAAGAAATATGCTTTCATTTGTGAAGGAAGGGGAGACAGAAACCTGCTGAGATAAATAAAGAACATTGAAAGTATATGGCATAAACTTCAAAAAAGCAGATCTCAAAGACAATAACTGATCTGGTCTTGAAACATAAAAAGATGTTCCTGATTCTGGCATTTATCTTCACTAGCTACAAAGTGGTATTTCTTGCAGTTCGAAGCAATTCCTCTTCAAAGAGAACCTACATTGTGGTAGTTTTTCCAGCTCCATTGTGTCCCAGCAAAGAAGTTATGTTTCCTTCATAAAAGTTCAGGTTGAGATTCTGGACAGCCGCTTTGGATCCATAGACCTTTGTTATTCCATACAGAGAAACTCCCACTTTTAGGTCGGTCGGCTCAGGTTCAAGGTTAGAAGGCAGAGCACCTTGAACAACTATAAAACAACAAGAACGGAGAAACCTTTTACTCTGTGCTTCAGATGGTGGGAATTTGCATATGGAATATATGGACAGCTATCAGTAAAAGAAAACACAAAAAATGGTAAGTGTGCTAAGTGGCATGAAAATGTAGCAACACAGGCAGGTATGCTGGCGGGATGGCCTCTGGAGCTGGGAGTTCAAAATTGTGTTTCGTTTTAGGGAGAGGAAAGGGGCGTATGTTGTGGATATCTGCTACTGCCCAGGTTTGGCATGTCAAAAGGAGAAATGGAAAACACAGCTGTTTGGGTGGATACTAAGACTTCTTTCTATGAAAATTAGATGTACATGGCCGCACAGCCACAACATTTTGTAACAAACTATAATGCATCAATGTGGGTTTTAAAGAAACAGCAGATTTAGCAGCAAATTTAAGAGCAGTGAGTTGTGGTTGTCTTCCCCCACCAAAGAAATATATGGTTCAAGATGGGTAGTCTTTAAATAGGTGGAAGATTAATATGGATATTATACTGTGGGTATATATCTAATGACAAACAATCCCTGGTTCACCTACCTGTCAGTCATCACACACAAGCCCTGCACAATCAGCCTGAGGGGGTCATTTTTGCTTTGGGATTTCACAATGCAGAGTATCCAAATAACCTATCCATATTTAAGTTTGCAAAACATGACAGCATACATATTTCCAAATACAGTCAGGGTCAGGTGAGGAATCTAAATTGTGTTGCCTTTTGTCATGACCCTTGACTCTAGTGGTGCTCTGGAGAGGGAGTCGGAGGTTGTGGGGCAGCGTAGCCAGATTCAGGGCACAGAGCTGACTGCTGAAGATAGGGAGACCCTTGGGCCTGAGACGGTTGGACAGGAGCTCTCAGAGGAAAGCCCCTGACCCCCAGGGCTTGTAGGGCCAGAGCCTGGTCACTCACGGGCACCTGAGCCTGAAGAGCCAGGTGCTTCCCACGCATCACTAGTCTGGGAGAGCACCAGAAAGGAGACTATGAAACAGCAAGGGAGTGTCCATCTTCAGGCCAGAGGGCTGGCCCTTTAAGCTTCTAAGGTTTTCTACAAGGAGGTGGAGCCTGGAGGAGGTAGTCTGCAGAGAGAGCATTGAAAGGCTACAGTTTGCTCTCAGCCTTTGTTGAGCAAGTTGCTCACTTGCAGCTGTTCATGGTCCAGCCTCACCACCTTCTCTGTGCATCAGGTCAACATGCAACAACATGCAACAACATACCTCGTCTCAAGATAACTGCTCAGCTCTGAGCTCAGGCAAATATCTATGTTACATTTCAGTACAAGACTAATGGTTTGATTAAAGCGAGATCAGGCAAAGTGGCACCCTCCAGATATTGTTGGACTACAGCTCCTATCATCCTTGACCATGCTGGCAGGGCTGATGAGAGTTGTAGTCCAAAAACATCTCAAGGGCACCTTGTTGGGTGCCCTGGTTTAAAGTAAGCGAATCTATGAAATAAATATTCACCACATCTAAAAACTTGGAGTACGTACATATCTTTTCAGGGAATGCTGGCTCTTTTCTCAAGAAGAAATTGGTGAAAAGAAAGTTTTTCCTCTTCTCACTCCATAAGGGGAAATAGCCATAGCGCTCTGCCCAGTAAGATGGAAGGAGTGGAAAATACCACGGGGCTGCAATACCATACTTGCCTGTTTAAAAAATGAGAGAGAGAGAGAGAGAGAGAGAGAGAGAGAGAGAGAGAGAGGCTGAGAAGTTGGGAAAAGTTACTCTATAGCATGTGACGGTCTGAATTAGGTTTACATGGTCTATACGACTGCAAGCCCAAAGAATGTGGTAGTGTGAGTTCAATGTGATTTCATCATTTCCCCAGAGTATATTGCACTTGTGTGCTGTGCAACCTCTGATCAAGTGAATGTGTTGTTTTCTTCCCTAATTTCCCAGTATCCTAAGGGTACCCAGACCACATGGATAGAGGGCCACAGGGCTCTATAAGGACTGTGGCTGTTTGCTGCTGCCCAGCGAGGGACTCGCCTGCTGCTGAGGGCCTGAAGGGCCTCGCCTGCCTCCTGCCATCTGGGCAGAGAGGGCTCCGTTTTTGTTTTTTAAATTGCTTTTTTTTATCTATGTCATTTTAAATTGTAACTGATATTAATGCTGTATTCTCAGTTTTAGATTTTATGATTTATGTGGAAGTTGTTTTCCATTTTGTTGTGTACTTTTTGATGTGTTTTATTTATTGCTTATGACTTTTGTTACGTTGTGAATTATGTAAATCTTGTCATGTTGTAAGCCGCCTTGAGCATCGTTTTAACTATGGAAAGGCGGTGTACAAATAAAATGATGATAATGATGCCACTATGCTGTCAAAATAATTACATTAAAACACACACATACATTCCTGAATTCATCTGCCTCTAGAAATAGAGTGGGAGAGCTCACCATAATTTACATATGGAAAATTATGAGTGACACCCGTTCTGGTTATGACATTTGTAAGTACTTTGTATGGCCATTCGTCATGCAAATACATCCTTCTGCACAGTCCCTAGAAGCAAAGAATGGTAGCATGTGCAATCATATAGGGCACATGTCATTTGTTAAGCACTTGCAAATGTGCAAGGCACAGGATGCCCTCAATAGTAATTATTATTATTATTATTATTATTAACAACAATACCCCACATATCTGGCTGGGTTGCCCCAACCAAAGAATGTCTTTGGTGGCTTCTCTGTGGTTAACAACACAGTGGGCTGCAGTCCATAATCTGTCCCATCTAACACAAACTTAATAGACAAATGAGCACCCTATGGGTCTAGACAAATAGACCCTTATGAGCACCCTAGTAATTGTGTGTGTTTGAGTGTGTGTGTGAAAATTCTTGCATGCACTACTTACCTGGAAAAACATTCCTAATGTACCAGCCCAGAATGAAATAAATAAAAGAATCTATCAGAATTAACCAGCACATCCAGCCAAAATTAGTCTCATCTCCAGACATAGGTGATTTATACATATTATCCCACTGCAGGCCTACAAAAGAGAAAAGGTAAGATAAAGACAATTTCTACATTAGCCAATGAACCAGAGTGCACCAAGGCTACCCAGAGAAGTGTCCACATAAGAAGAACCCTTACCAACGCCCTGTTCTTCATAGCGGGCAATGTACTGGCTTGCATAGCTGAACGCAGTTGGAGACAGCAGGCTCTGGAAAAAGCAGGGGAGAAACAAACACACAAAAACCCTACTGAAATATTTGCATACAAATATCCAGGTAAACATATGAAGACGATGCAGATTTCAGAGACATATAAAATGTAAGTATAGATGTAAAATTATACCCCATGATTCAGATGAAAGTATTTTTTTAAAACGAAAGAAGGGAGAGAGTGGGGAGATGAGAAAGAAAGCATTCCTGAGAGAATGAGCACAAAGAAGCCTTGGGAATCATTCTTATTATCCCTGTAGACTCTTCTTCCTACAAGGAGAGTAAGGCAATATCCATGCAGTTCACCCTATAAACTGGCTCACACACACACACACACACACAGAGAGAGAGAGAGAGAGAGAGAGAGAGAGTTCTAGGGACCACTGACTGAGCATCATGGCATGACTGTGCTTTTTTGAATCCAGCATTGCACATCCAAACCAAATATTCTTGACATTTTGCCAGTTCTCATCTATATTACCCTGTATTGGATAAGAGGAAACATAGAGGTGTTAACTAGGGCCGACCCAAGACATTTTGGCACCTGAGGCAGACCCCAAAATGGCGCCCCCCCTTCCCACCAGGGAAGTAGGGATGAAGGAAGATCTACGTCAGGAATAAGAAGGAAGGAAGATCAGCATTGGTATCTGCTGGCCCTGTGAACCCTGCTGCCTGAAGCAACTGGGCCTAATATTACACCACTGCTATTGTGTGGTTGAGAGACAAGCCAGAATGTGCATTTAAGTTGACTCCCCACACACACACACACAAAAATTCTTCGGTAAATGACCCTTCCCCCAGCCTTCAGATGTCTTGAACTACAATTCCCACCAGCCCCACCTAGCACTGCCCTGCTGGAGCGGATGGGAGTTGTAGTCCAAAACTTCTGTGGGCTCCAGGTTGACTAAAGCTGCCCCAGCACCTTCACGCATCTTAACACAGCTGAGAGGTTTACCAGCAGGCTCTTCACGGAAAAGCTGACGTGATTCTCAACGACAAGCAGGACGATGAATGGGAAAAAGGTCAAGATATAGATGAGACAGCCCACCAAGGCAGCAATGTTGGTGTTGTTGAAGAAGACGCTGATGAGGTAGCACATGGCGATGATGGAGAAGCTGTAGTCCAGGAGGTACAGGAACAGTATCACAACATTTATGTTGGAAAGGACGTTCCCAACTTTGAGCATAACAATGAGAAACGTGGTAGTAATTAGGAGAAAGGTGGCACATTCAATGAACCAGGCGATGAAGTGACTGCTGGAATTGACACCCATCATCTTCATATACTATGGAGGGAGAAATAATAAAAGGATAGCCACTTAATTGAATTCAAACATGTATATTAGTTATTACTATTATTTATTATGAAAACAAATTTAGAAACCAGTTTCAAAGAGGTGCACAGGGTAAAAACAGACTAAAACACAGAAACACAGACTCAAAGAAAAATAAAATCAATTTAGCCAACTCTAAAGCAATAAAACCATTTACACAAACACCAAAGTATTAAGTGCTGTCGTCTTCTAAAACAGGTAAAGGACCCCTGACAGTTAAGTCTAGTCATGAACGACTCTGGGGTTGCAGTGCTCATCTCACTTTATTGGCCAAGGGGAAATGCCGTTTATCTTCCTGCTGGAGCGGTACCTATTTATCTACTTGCACTTTGACATGCTTTCGAACTGCTAGGTTGGCAGGAGCTGGGACTGAGCAACGGGAGCTCACCCAGGTAAAAAAAGGTAAAGGACCCCTGGATGGTTAAGTCCAGTCAAAGGCAACTATGGGGTTGTAGCGCTCATCTTGCTTTCAGGCTGAGAGTGCCGGTGTTTGTCCACAGACAGTTTTCCAGGTCATGTGGCCAGCATGACTAAACCACTACTGGCACACGGAGGACCGTGACGAGTGCCACAGCACACGGAAACGCCATTTACCTTCCCGTCGCAGCAGTACCTATTTATCTTCTTGCACCGGTGTGCTTTCAATCTGCTAGGTTGGCAGGAGCTGGGACCGAGCAACGGGAGCTCACCCCGTCGCAGGGATTTGAACCGCCGACCTTCCGATTGGGAAGCCCAAGAGGCTCAGTGGTTTAGACCACAGCGCCACCCGGATATTCTAATTATGTACTGTAGGCATAGTAAGATGGCCATTGTCTCTTCTTTTAAAATAGAAGGGGTGACTGGTGGTCTGCAGCATTAATTTCAGTTTTACAGTCTCTGAGAGGGACATGTCAGTCCTTACCAGGAATGCCCAAATTGTGCCCCACTAAGCTGAATGTGCACACCCTAATGAATTGTGAGAAATGAGATGCTTGAGGCCACTGTTACCTCTCCAGTTCATATTTCTGCAAACTCTGAGTAACAGCAAAGTAGGTTGTTTGTGTGTGTGTGTGTGTGTGTTTTAAAAATTGGGTGTTGTAGAGGTTGCCTTACAAGGCCAGTGGGCTATGTGTGCATTGATAGGTTTACAAGTGGCAATGGCCCAACCTCTCAAGTGTGCTCCCAGTAGGGACTATTGACTGGTGCCAGGTCAGCAATAGCTCTGCCAGCTTCTTCCAACAAATATTGTTTCCTGCACCAAAATCTTTAATGTATTATGATCAAAAAGTTGGAATCTCTAACTTGCTAAGCTATGGGGAAAAATAAAATAAATAAACAACACCATGGTGGAGTTCAAACGGAGTGGCACTTACCTCCCAAATAGATAAGTTTCTCAAAAATACCAGCTATTCTAATATTTTAAATTGCCAATCTGCTGAACAAATCATGCACCCCACCCTAAAATTCACTCCACTTAACATTTCCAGGCTGTTTCTTTGGAGTGAACATTTATAACTCAAGGATTAGGAGGTAGACTTCCTTGTACGACATCCTTGAATGCTACTGGTGCATGTGTGAAATATTTTGCTCCATTTGCCCCAAATATTTTGCCTGGTTATTTTTTTTAACTCAGCATAAACAAGAATGTGTGGACCACTTCTTATGTTACATTGTTGAGCCGCTTTAACACAGCTTCTTCCCTGGCAAAAACATAATACCAGAGGTGTGAGAAGATCACACTATAACTCCTCCTCATGCCTGCATTACCACATTTTGCAAGAGAGAGTTATTCTGGCATGGCCAAGACTCTCTGAAGCTAACCTCCGACAGAGCTACTCTGCCCTTTCCCTACAAATACTTTGAGGATTAGATACACAGATATAACTCTACAAAAGTTGAGGCTCTCCACACTTGCTGCTGTTCTAATATTACACAAATGACATCAGAGCTGTTTCACAGTGGAACCAAACTCCCTCAGAAGGTGGTGCCCTCTGCCTCATGCGAGGTTTTTAAGCAGAGGTTGGATGGCCATCTGTCATGGATGCTTTAGCTGAGAATCCTGCATGCAGGGGGTTGGACTAGATGACCCGAGATGATTCTGTGAAATAGTAGTATCTCTGTGGGGATCTGTTTGCTCAAAAACAATAATTTTCTTTGTTTAACCTGTGGAATCGATTGAATCGCTAATGAAAGTGCTAAAAGTCCCACTGAGTGTTAGGACAGCACACAGGAACATTTTTAGCAGAAATAGCCTCATATTTTAAATAAGTGTACACTAAATTGAGAGTAGTTGGGCTAAGGCAATAATTGATTCTGTGGAAGTGGGTGCTCTACTTCATTGACTACCAAGATAAAGAATTACAAAGCCCTTTTGCTCCTCTGGTGGAAGTTCACTTTGAAAACTAAATCAAGTTAAGAAGGGGAAAGATTTTCACATTGATCGCTATGTTGTCTCACAGGAAATCTAATCTTGCACATGCCTCACTTGAGATAATAACACAAAAAACACCATGGTATGTAAGAGGTCAGGAAAGTAGAATCATGTCAGAAGAACCAATTATGAAAGAAATAATTTCTTAACAACTTGCTGATGTATCTAAACAAAATAGTGAACAGCTTCCAATCACTGATTTTACTAATGACTTTTCTTCTGTAATCTATGGCTTTCTTTTAGAGGCCCATAATCCAAAGAACCCCTTTGCTGTGTGCAAAAGTTTTTAAGAGCTCAGGAAGCTGCCTTACGAAAGGTCAGACCGTTTGCACATCGAGTTAAGCATGGTTGACATTGATTGGCAGTGGGTCTCCAGAGTTTCAGACAGGAGTCTTTCCCAGTCAGGCCTGGAAATGCCAGGAATCAGAGTGGCTCAGAGTGTGACCTGTGTGGCTGTACTGGGCACAAAATGTCTGGCTCTGCCACCAGTACTCCACTGCACGGCGAGAGGTGTGGGGAGAGGTGTGCCAGATTTTGGGGGTGCACAGGGTGCCACTGAAATCTGAGGTGCCAGGGTCCGTCACTGCAGGGATCGATCCTGAGACCTTCAGCATGCAAAGCAGGTGCTCTTACATTGAGCAGCAGACCCTACCCAACTACATCCCACAGTTTTCCTCCTGACGTTTGTTCCCAATGGAACTTTTCCAGACAAATATTCCCTGTTGGAATGCCAGGAAAGTGAGAATTATACTCCTGCACATATTTTGTCACACTGCACATTGATGAAATGGGGGGGGGGCTAATATGCATGATGCATAACTTGCACGCAGGACACATGGTCTTGACAGGGAAAGCTTCAAGTGCAGGTAACGAGAGAGCTGGACCATAAAGAAGGCTGATCGCCGAAGAATTGATGCTTTTGAATTCTGGTGCTGGAGGAGACTCTTGAGAGTCCCATGGACTGCAAGAAGATCAAACCTCTCCATTCTGAAGGAAATCAGCCCTGAGGGCTCACTGGAAGGACAGATCGTGAAGCTGAGGCTCCAATACTTTGGATACTTAGTTTGACTCCCTGGAAAAGACCCTGATGTTGGCAAAGGTTGAGGGCACAAGGAGAAGGGGACGACAGAGGACGAGATGGTTGGACAGTGTTCTCAAAGCTACCAGCATGAGTTTGACCAAACTGCGGGAGGCAGTGGAAGACAGGCGTGCCTGGCATGCTCTGGTCCATGGGGTCACAAAGAGTCGGACACGGCTAAACGGCTAAACAACAACAACCTTAAGAATGGACTGCTGAAACGTGCACTGGAAGCTGTTTTGGAAGCTGCAGTTAGTGCTGAATGAGATAGCTGAGCTCTTATTGGGGATTGCCTATTGCCAACAATTTACACCAATCTTGACAGAACTACATTTGGTGTCTATATGCTACCAAGCCCATTTCAGGGTGCTTGCATTGACTTATAAAGCCCTACATAACTTAGAGAGAGTGCCTCTTCCCACATAGATCTGCCTGGCTGTTGAGATCTACCAAGGAGGTTTGTCATTGTGGGCCCCAGCTTTGGAGCACCTCCCCTCTGTGCTACAGCTCCTGCTTACCCTTCTGATGTTGTCTATTTGCCCAGGCCTTTGCTGGATACCAGTGCCTGGATTCCTGTCATTTATTATTTTTCAAGTTGTCATTTATCTGTTTAAATTGTATCCTACCCTAGAATTGCGTTGTGGTGAAAGAAGGGTAAGAAATATTTCAAAGAACAAATAATGTTAAATATGCATAATTAGGAGTAGGAACAGAAGGGTCTGCTTCTGCTTTCTTGGTTTCTCATTTTTCCAATCTTAAATTGAGTTCTCCACATTTTGCATCAATTTATAAATGAAATTGTAAAAATCTTCCTGAAATTCAATCAACATTTGAATGCAAACTCATTTTATATGCATTTTTGACTAATGTACACAGTTTTGCAAGCAATGTCCCCCAATGCAAGGAGTTTTCACTAATATATTCATTTTTATGTATACTTTTCCTGAATATATGCATATTTTCAAACATTAGTTGGAGAACTGCACCGCACAATGTAGATGTGCTTCAGTTCACATACTGTTTCAGAAAGTGCAAATTCAATAGCTTCAGCTTTCACTGGAAAAAGGAACTGAATTTCTCCTGCATCCCTACATAGGAGTGATAAACATAGGAGCACCACAAAGAAGACTGGAATGTCTTCAAGATCAACTGCTAGGCCCCTCTACATTCTTGGAGAACTAACTCTGTTAGCTTTTAAAGGTGCAAGTCTTGTTGGTAGTCTATCTCTCATTCTGAAAAATGAACTCTGAGACCTGCATTCTCAGGTCTTATCCAGGAGCAATTTCTACTGAATTTGCTTGTATGAATTGTTTTGGAGAGGAGCTCAGGGCATAGCTTTCATAAGTGGTTTCTCTGTCAGTCTCTGTGAATAAGTTAACAGGGAACCCTATAGACTGGATTCCTTCCACCCAGGTACTCAGACTCTGTCAGATACAGCCTCAGGGTGCGGTGAATACTCAAAACTTCAGACTACCTCGTAAAGCCTCAGGTCTTTTTCTTCAACGAGTTTCTTCACAAAGGCTGCAATGTAAAGTATCCAAGCAGCCATCAACATGAATGGAAGGGAGTAAGTCACACTGGTTAGGAACCTGTAAAAAGAAAAGCAATTATTTAGCTGCAAAGGCAAAGTATGTTGGATTAGGGAGGGATAACGAACATGACTTTCAACATAAAAGCCTTTGTTTTTTCTCGGAAACTTGGACTATAGTTAAAAAACATTTGGCTCATTCTAGGAACTGGTAACTACATTCAATGAAAGAATTTTTGCTATTACAAAAACCTATAGCTACTGGTTTGTGGCTCTCAGAGTCCCTACATTGAGCCATGTTTTGTGCCCCACCCTTCCTTGACTGATACTTAATATTCCTCTGTATAAACCTATGTAGGGATAAAGGCTCTTATACCTTTGCAAAACTCTATGAAGTTAGAGACTGGAAGTAGTTTCAATTTTCAGCCTCAAAACAAAGCATACTATGTTTTGCCATGTTTTGCAGAAATATCACTTGACGCTGTGATCTTCTCAGGAGATGAATATGAAAGCAGCAATAACATCTATGCTAGACAAGTCCTGTCCTAGTTATGTTCACTCAGACTTATATCCTACTGTATTCAACATGGCTTATTCCCTGGCAATTTCCTGTGCATACAGGACTGCAAACTTAGATTTACTTCTGAGTAAACATGCAAAGGTTTAATTTGTAAACTGAATCATATTTACGTGGAACTAAGTCCCGCTGAAAATTATTATTTTTGCAGTCATTTATTGATAGAGCATACATAGTATGAATTTGGTATGGATCCACTTGTATTCTGAGTTTACTTACACAAAACACTTGGATCAAAGACAATTTACCATTAGCAATGCCTACAACAGTGATAGTGAGAAATCAAACCTTACCATGGCTATCATTAAATAATTTAAGAAGGGGAGATTCCTATCTGAGAAGTAAAAATTACTTAATTCTTAAAGTTAAGATACAGGCAACCAGATGTTGTAGGATTCCACTACAATGGGTGTGGGTAGGGAGGGAGGTGGGTAGAGGTTGGCATAAAAGAAAAGGAACATAATTTTTCAGGGTTTCACATATTGTTAAGGCAGCCTATGAAGGCATAAATGAAGATTGGGTACATTCAGATGTAACACTCTCCATTAGTTGGATCAAAGCACAGACAGACCTTATATCCAAACTATCAAACTGTGATTTGAATGAGCCATCCAAATCAGGATCGCTGTTTGGTTTGGAGGTCTTGCTTGATCCCTTTGCCAGTTGTCACATTATGGTGATTTTATCTGACCAAGAAGTGTTTTAGCAAAGAAGCCTGATACAACTGGTGAGGTTGTGAGTGACCATATTTCTGTCCCATTATAATGTTTATTTATTTATAAAAATATTTATATAACACTATATCATAATACCATATCTAAATACCATTAAAAAACCCTCATAAAAATGTATACTCAGAGATCATCTGCTATTGAGGAAACTTGTTTTCCTTATTGTCTGCATCAACTTGGTGGCACAGAACAGTTTTCAGCAGGTTTTTGAAGGTTAAAACAGAAAGCACCTCCCAAATCTCTCTTGCATAACATTCCACTGGGCTGATGACACCAAAGACTCAATTTACTGTTGCCAGTGATGTGCCTGCAGATGATCTCAGTGACTGAGCTAGGAGATAACAGTTCAGGCAGTCCCTCGGGTACCCTGGACCTAAGTTGTTGAGGGCTTTGTAAATTGGTGCAAGGTCCTTGAAGGTGGCCCAGTAGTAGAGCCTGTGCAGATGTTTTAACAGTGGTGTCACATGTTGGTAGCTTTGTGCCCCCACTCAGGAGCCCCATTCTGCACCAGGTGGAGCTTCCAGACTAGGCCCAAGGGCAGCCCCACAGAGAGCATACTGCTGTAAACACTCTACCATTTATTAAACGCTCTGCTTAACGAGGTTTAGTCAGCAGACTTACATGTCTTTGTTGTAGCAGGGGTAGGGGGTAGCCTGAACTTGTACTGCGATTTCTTCTGCGGTTTTCCCGGTCTGCAATTCAATGATTGCTCTGTCAATGCTATCCTGGATGTAGATAAATGCTCGACTGTAGATCTGACTTTGCGAGGCTGAGTTATGTGGACCCACCGTCCAGATTTTCTCTCGTATTCTTCTGGTTGTTTGGGAAATCTTGCTGCTCATTCGGATGGTGTAGTTGACTAGCGGTGGAAAGGAAAGGTTGCCAGGAATTTCTGTCTCCTCCCTCTTTCCATCTGAGAATGGCTTGAAAATGATACCTTTTAAAAGAGAAAGAGAGAGAAATGCATTTCACTGCAGCAGGGCTAAGGGGGGTTCGTGTCAGTAGGTTCCTTACTGGGGTGGGGGCCATCAGCAAGTTGACCCTTGACACTAGCCTTGAACTCTGGGATGCAAACTCAGAGGCCTCTAGACAGGGATCAGAAGTTGTGTCTGTTGTTTAACCAATCCTGTTAAATATGTTTCTCAGTTCCTTATCACCTTGTTTCTATATGTGCTACAAGACAAAAGAAAGAACTCCAACTGAAGAGAGAGAAAATGTTTTGTCATATAGAAAATTGATAATGGAATTTGGAGATTACATTTAATGAAAGAATTGATGCAACAGATTTGTGTAGTCATAAGTAATTCTTGTAGCTCGATAGTTTCATTTCATTTCTTATGGTAATAATGATCCCTCAATACTCAACACAACATTATTCAACACAACATAAATTGTTCTGGCATGATCTTATCAGTATGTAATACTGATATTCTATCTCTTTTTATCTGGTAAATGCCACTAATGTATCAGATGCTATATTGATTCTGTAGTTCTTAATTGACAATGCAAACTTCTTTTGTTTTGTGCGTTCGACTTCAACTGTTTTGCTTTGTTTAACTTGTAATAGTACAAAATTATCAAAGAATAAATAGCTAAGAAATAAAAAGCAGTTACTGCAAACTTTAAAAATTGCTCTAGTCTAGGGAAAGGTGGGTGAATTGGCAGAACAGGGTTTGATGCTCAAAAGAAGTCTGTGCATCTCCCAAAAACAGGTTGAGTACAATTGCCTGACCTTCTCACTGTTCCAGCTGCGTACACCCTTTATTTTGCTTGTGATCTCAAGCATGCTTTAATAAAATGAACAGGCATTAATATAATGTCTATTGCTCTGATTCTCAATTTGCAAAGCAGAGTATCTTAAGGATGTTAAGTTAGTATACAACAAAAACACAGGTATATCATCAGATTTGGGGACAGCTGAATTGAGAATTGATATGGCACTGCTGCCCATGTGCCCATTGGAGGGAAAAGGTGGGAAGAGAAATAAACTAAAAATTGAAGTGAGCTATACATCCGATTCACACCTGGCCACTGCAATCTCTGCTGATTCTCGCAATAGATCTTGCTTACAGATAACCTCAGTGCATTATGCACTTTCTTCCTAGACAGCTTGTTTGTTTTAAAAGTTATTCCTGAATGATGCTGGAACACATGCAACTGGGGATCAGCTTTGATTTGTCAAGTAATGTATTTCAAACCACCAATGTAACAGACCAGAATGAATCATCTCAGCCCAAAGATCCACATTTAACACCTCATCTTGAATTTTGGTTGAAAACTATTTCATTTCAGCAAAGAAATCCAAATTCAGATGACAATACTCACTTGCAAGAAGTTCATTCTTCAAAAAGAAATCTTTTGCCACCATTTCCAGCTCCTCTACAGTCTTGAATGGACGGATACGATCAAACAACACACATGAGGAGATATTTACTGAAAGTCCTGCTAAGACGCTAAGCTGGTTTATGATGTCAGCATTATTCTGTAGTTCCCAACGTATATCATCTGGGGTGGGGGAAATGAAGCGAGAGAACCATAATCAGTGGTGGACTTTGGGCTCTCAAATTTCAGCAGCGCCCTGTGCGACACCCCCCCACCTCTCACAATGTATTCTACAGCATTATTTTGGCAAGCCCTGCAGGATAGCACCCAGGATGACCACACCAGTTGCTAGGGTCTTGCAGAGCCAGGCAGAGGCCCAGGCCAGGTAGATAATGTGCCCCCCCCTTTTTTTCACCCTGGGGATAACTGAAGTCTTATAAATAAGTAAGTATATAAATAATTTTCACAAAAGTTATGTTGACGAATAATTTTATTTCAAGGCTTGAACCGTATCTGCATATAAAGACAAAACTGAAAATATAGATATACAATTGTGAATATGTTGACCGAGGCGCCCTTTGGAATCAGAGGCCCAGGCCAAGTGGCCCTTATTGCCGCCCCCCCCCCCTCTGTCTGGGCCTGCCAGTTGCACCAACCTAAAACCACCTCTGCCATAATCTATTGATTCTAATGTGACACTCTCCCGTGGAAGACACAAGAAAACCTTAAAATTAGCAGAAGTTACTTTTAGTAGTTTCTGTTCACAGATTCATAAAGCTGAAAAAGATCTAATGATTGCCTAGTTCTCTCTGAAAGGGGTAAACTTGTATCTGGCCTATACCACTTTAGACTACAGTGGTGCCTCGCAAGACGAAATTAATCCATTCCGCGAGTCTCTTCGTCTTGCGGTTTTTTCATCTTGCAAAGCACGGCTATTAGCGGCTTAGCGGCTATTAGCGGCTTAGCGGCTATTAGCGGCTTAGCGGCTTTAAGAAAAAGGAAACAAACTCGCAAGAACTCGCAAGACGTTTCGTCTTGCGAAGCAAGCCCATAGGGAAATTCGTCTTGCGGAACGACTCAAAAAACGGAAAACCCTTTCGTCTAGCGAGTTTTTTCGTCTTGCGAGGCATTCGTCTTGCGGGGCACCACTGTATAGATAAGGCCTGAATGACCAAATACTCTTCCATACAAAAAGCAAATCCCTTCACAAATAAAACCACACATTAGGGTTCTTCCCATTTTGGGTGTCTCCAGACAGTTAATATTGCGTGGAAGTGAAGGGATTCAAGTGCAACCCAGAACTTTAGATTTGCATGATTAAAGTGGGTTACAGGGCTCTCTTACCCCTGAGCAACAATCCCACTTCACACAAGAACCTGATGTTTTGCAGTTTGGGAAGCAACAGGGAAGCGTGGGGTGTTCTGTCCACCCCACAAAATGTAGTCCCTTTCAGTGGGTACTGTGTCAACTACTATGCGGCCCAAAAAATAGGTGTCTCCACAGGGTACTGCAAGTAATACGCACTTATGTTTTCCTATAGAAATCAGCGGCAACCACCCACTTATGTGATACAAGTAAAGGTGTATAATCAGGAACATCTCTAGTACTGTTAGCATGCATGGCTGTGTGCAACAACTTACCCAGCTCATCAATTTGGTTTAGAAGGTCATCAGCATCTAGTTTCACCATGAGTTTGATGAACACTTGCACAAAGGGATTCTGCAGTGCATTCTACAAAATAATGGAATGAGAGCTTGCTTAAACAAAGTATATTCAACCACTTTTCAAAATTAGAACCACAGTTGTCAGAAGGAGAAAACGAGTCCCCTGCGAAGAAGGTATGGTTAGTTCCCAGAGAAGACACAAGCTTTTCCTCTTTCAGTGGCTGGCTTCTTGTGTCATGTAGGCCAGGCCCAGGAACTGAGAGCCAGTGTGGTGTAGTGGTTAAGAGTGGTAGTCTCATAATCTGGTGAACCGGGTTCGCGTCTCCTCCACCTGCAGCTGCTGGGTGACCTTGGGCCAGTCACACTTCTTTGAAGTCTCTCAGCCCCACTCACCTCACAGAGTGTTTGTTGTGGGGGAGGAAGGGAAAGGAGAATGTTTGAGACTTTGAGACTCCTTAAAGGGAGTGAAAGGCGGGATATCAAATCCAAACTCTTCTTCTTCTTCTTCTTGAACCTCAAGCTTTCCATTTGTAGAAGAAAAAGGGCTGGACTGGGACCAAGCCATGGAACACACCAGGATTAGCACAATTTTGCCATGATAATTATATACCAAGGCTGAGAATGTAGTGGGTTTTAGCAAACTGTTCCTCAATATCCAAAGATGACTGTCAAACCCAAAACTCCCTATATCTAAATTTCTGGCATGCCCTTCCCTTCGCTCATATTAATCTGCCCATCCCAAAACTATGCATCCAGTTTCTGTATGTCATGCAACTGTTGCTAACTCAGTTTAAAGAAAGGGAGGAATAGTTCTGAAGTTATGTACCTCACATTGTCTGAATGTTTTTGTTAATCAAAGTTCTCCAGGTAAGCTTATCAGTCTTCCTAGTTTCATTCAAAACAATATAGAGGAGGGTGAGGTAATCCACATGGGAGGAAAGAGGCACAGTGGAAGAAATATGTAACACTACAGCTCAATCCTCTCTTTTTTAATCTTCTTTTTTTAAAACTGTAAATCTAAACTAGGTCTGAGTACTAAGCAAATTTGGCCTCAGAGTAATGGCAAAAATTATCCCTCTGCAAGAGAGCAGTTTTATTAATAGCTAGGGATGTCGGAGAGTTTTGCTATAGGCAGATGCAGATATGGAAAGTTCTTGTTCCCAGTATTCAGGAATGGAATTCCTTGAAGTGAATGCAACCCACATTCACATTGGCATCTATTTTATCTTTTTCAGTACGCAGGTTTGACATAATTAATGTAATTTTTTTACATGTCACTTCACCTGATGTTCCACAATGCTGTTATCAGGAAGCTCAATAAATGTTTAGAACCCTGTGGGGAGATGGCTAATTCATGGGCCATTGCCTGCTTTATTTACTTTGAAAGAGAATTAACAGGAAAGTGGGGCTGATGGAGGCACTGCCAAGGTGTAAGAAAGTCACCAATGTACACAGGTGTGGCTTTTCTTTTTTTATTTCTGAAGTGTGGTTTGTTGCCCAAGGCAGCCCATATGCACTAAGACTGCAAACCTGAGAAGTAAATCCCATTGAATTCAGTGAGGCTTACTCTCAGGTAAATAGGAAATTTAAATTAAAGTTCCTTTACTTTTTCCCCCTTGAAATTTTCTTGACTTGTAACTCAGCTGCCTACCTCTGGTAACTGAGTGAGGGAAGCAATATAGGATGGCAAATTTATACTGAGTTGTGAAATCAAGGCAGTGAGAGAGGCTACAATCTTAACCTCACTTACCAGAAGGTATGCCCCACTAAATTCAGTATGACTAACTTCTAAGTAGGCATGGTTAGGTTTGCATTCATAGATGGTTTTGTAATGGCCAGTTCATTAACATTGACTTTAAGGTGGCACAAGGATATTTGTTGTTTATCAAACTTTGAAAGGGAACATGCAGGAGAGACAATGGATTAGTAAATATAGCATAGCACAGCAGCATAGATCATGAGATTGAAAACAAAACCATAGCACACAGTGGAGCAGATAGTACCATATCAGGCATAAGCGGAAGGGCAGCAGAACAAAACCAGCTCACTTTATAGCACTTTATGAGCTTTACTAATTTTGTTTATCCCTATTTATAGCCTTGATATGCATGTTTCATATGAAGCTTTCAAATGGGCTTGAGAGAAAAACAAGCCACCATTAAGACATCATGAGATGCATGAATTTTTCTAGCATCCAGATTTTATTTCCATGTTACAAAAAATAAAATACCCCTAAGGTTTCCCTCAAGCCTTGCTATACTGACTGTGTTATACTGAATTTGACTGCTTACATGAGTTAATAAGTTCCTGTGTTATAGCTAGCTCTGTCAGATACATTGTCTTGAATTTCACATGCTACCATGAGTTAATAAAGACATCATTTGACAGAAGACAGCTGCAACTTCATAGTAAAAAGAAAATGATTGTTGCCATAGGACTCAGCGCCAGAGGGGAGTTTTAGCACTGATTTATGAAGAAGGTCTGAATTTTGTAGCTTGAATTCAAATATTTCAACTCATTATGCTTCAGAGGCATTTTGATCCTTCTGACTCAAACAGGTTTTCTTAGATAATAGAGCAGGTACCAGCCTGTCAGCACACAGGTATCTCTGCAATTTAGGGAAAGGCTCAAAGATATTAATTTAATCATGAAAAGAAGTATTTTAAACTTTTCAGACCGCATACTTTCCCATAAAACAAAGTTGCTCCAAGGGGGCATACAAGGCCTCAAAACAGTCACACATTGTAAGAATGATATAACTTTTTTAAAAAATTAAGCAGCTTAATTAAAATACCATAAAGGTACAGACAGGTGAATTTGCACTTAAAAATTAGACAGGGAACTAGCTCTGTCAGTCGTTTGACCAGTTAACCTTCCCTTGCAAAAGGCCCAAAAGCTATGCTTACCTTCCTCATTAGAAAACCCCATGTGATGGACCAGATGGTCAAAAGTACCGCAGCCTCAGCACCACTGCAGAGAAAGCTCCACCAACTCCCGCCCCCAAGCAGAGAGAGAGCAAGCGCTCCCTACCCCCAAATTACAAGAAGGTACATGTGAGAGGAGACAGTTAATAGGAAGTATGCAACTATAGCTGAGCCAAAATACCGTTGGCATTTTGTTGAGAAATTAGCAGTGGTTGGCCCATAAAGCCTGGGTTTGGGGGAGAGAACTTGAGATAGCCGGATGACAGGAGATGGAGACTCCATTGTGAAATCATTATGATGTCTCTGTTTTCTTGCTTCTGATTAAAACCTTACACACACCCATTCATTCACTTGCTGCAAGGCCCTTTCCCCATTCATGATACATGTGAAAATGGTTGCAATGCTGACAGCAAGGCTGACGCATCATTCATCATGGACAGAAGACTGGCACATGAAAGTTTTTCAGGCCTGGGCATGTAGGCAATGCTCCCCTTTCTATGAGAGAAGGAAACACTTCTCATCTTCCACACACATTTTAAAGTAAGCAGCAGCAGAGGGGACCTTATTTTATGAATCAGGGAGCTCCGAGGTAAGGTCAACTTTGCTGGAATCCTATGCTATGAGATGTTAAGCATAATTATTAACCCAGACGTACAAATCAACTAGCACAAAAACCGTAACAAGACAAAATCAACACTCGATCAGTTAAGGAGATAGGGAGTAAACGTTTCATACCTTTGCTATTGGAATAGTTTCCTTTAACATATTCAGTGAGCTCATCAGCAATGGTGAATTGTCCAGCCACTCCTGGGATTTTTGTGTTAATTCAGCCATCAGTTTCAATGTTGCATTAGACTAAGAGAACAAAAAATATATGGGCAAAGAAAAATGCATATCTAGTCAATCAAGTGAATTACAGTGTTTTGATGCCTTGGTTTGCTCCCTGATTATGAGAGCAGTCTCACACTGGTTAATAGTAATTTCTTGCTATTTTTACAAAACTTCTTCCCAACTAAGCCACATATTCTGAAGGCAAATTAACATTAGGAATTCCATATGTTCCCAAGTCACTGGAGAAGCAACCTCCTAATTGGCGTCTACTGCAAGTACCAAGTGTTTTCTAATCACTGAGAACTATTGATTTTATTGAGCGTGGTGTTACCTTCTCCATGATTGCTCTTGTTTCAGGGGTGTCTGGTGTATACAGAATCCTCCCAAACAGCATGGGCTTTAAGAAAGACCAAATTAAAGCCCCTGTAGGTGTTTTCACCAAGTCCAAAAAGATTGATGTGCAGAACGATGCTAGAAAAAGACAGAGTCAGTGTGAGAATTAGCACATATAACACAGATGCACAGTCTGGATGCAGATATTGATGCTTGCCAGATGAGAGCAGATGCTTGAAGAATCCCTTGAAAGCCCTGTCTTCACATCCTGATGTGATGCCTTTTGACAAAGCTAATCCTCCCCAAAGATCTCCCATAGCTGAACTCAGCTAACAAGGTTCTTATTGTTCTAGCAAAAACCTCTCCTGTTTAAGGTTAAATGGAGCTTTTGGAGCTCAGAGGAGCGAGTGTCAGTACAGATGGAAAAACAACTCCTCAAAATAAAAGCAGTGACCTTTCTGAATACTAAAGCCAAACTCATTGGGGACTTTAGATTTGGCAATGTATTAAAGCCACTTCAACTGCTGTCTCCATTGCTTCACTTTTCAGATAGAAACTTTTCTTGCACCAAGAAAATGCAAACCTTGCATTTCTTTGTAAAGTGTCTGCTGAAAGCTCAGCAATTCCAGCAGCAAAGTCAGTTTTTCCATTTTTGAAATAGGTCACCATAACTACATACAAACATGTATTGCAGAATTTGATCTCATTGAGACCGGAGCGCCCTTATGAACATATGGCGCTGTCATACTAAGTCCATTCTGACTCGTATTGTCATTGGACCAATGGTCTGACTGGCACCAGGTCTCAAGGTTAGGTCTTTCCTGCCACCTGAAATCCTTTATAACTGGATTGAATCTGGTCCTTATGCAAAATACACCCTGTATACGCCCTCCCCTCTTGTGGTCATCTTCCTACTCAGTTGATATAAAAGCACAGAATCCTGATCATATAAGTGCTTTTCTAACTCTAGAAATATGACTTTTAATTACCCTTACTAATAAGCCATGAAGTTAGAATGAAAGCTGATCTTTAAGGTCCCAGATTTCTATTCTACCTGGTGAGACAGGTGGGAGGACAAAAGAAAGCTATTCTTGGACCAGTTCCTATTCAACTTCAATAGTGTTCACAGAGAGTATCATATTGGATTATGATTGAGTGTGTGTTTAGATTTCATTGACCTCTAACTAATTTATAAGGGAATAAGGTTGATCAATGGTTGAAAGAGTGAAAGGGGAAAAGTCTAAAATATTTAGGACATCTTTATTTGCCTGTTTCCTCATATCAAGATATGTAAATGGCATAAATACGCACATAAACATGACCATGATCTTGCAGAGGTTCATGGGATTTTGATAAGCAGGCTATTAGTGGACTTTTAAAAAACATATTGGACAATTCTGAAGAAATAAACAAATGCAGTTTTGCACATTCCTAATTGTGCTTATGTTCTCCTGAAAGCAATGAGTTGAAATCTTAATTCCCAATTAAGAATTGTTATAACTTGCTCCCACCCAATAATTTTGTTGGGTTGTACCCAGTAGGTTTTACAAGAGGCTTCAGATACCAATAGTATTAACAACTCACTGGTGTTCTGTGGGATGCCATATTTATTCATAATATGTTGTATTTGCTCATCTTGTACAGAAGAATGGTGGACATTCTGCTCTTCAAAATCTGGGAGCAGAGACTCAAAGAACAAAGGAGTGATTTCCTCATTGCAGAGAGCTTTCGAAATGATTTTAAATGTCCCTCTGTTCATTGTTAAGTTGTTCGCCTGAGACAATGCCTGTGGAAGCAAACAGAAGGTATGTTGATGGACAGAATAAATTTTGGCAAATGAGATAATGGTAACATTCAAATTTATATACGGCATAACATTTATGTGGCAACATATAACATTGTCAGCCAAAATGGGACTAGGATGGTTAGTGTTTTGTCTGGGTGTTATGCAACGCCGGCCCAAGACTTTTTGGCACCTGAGATGAACCACAAAGTGGTACCCATGTCCCGCTACCCCACCAGGGAACAAGGAGTGAGTGGACAGGAGAAATTGTCCACCACATTTCTTGGGATTGCATCTCTTTCTTTTTTCCTACAGTAGTTGTAATTTGTTGCAGGCAGCAGGCAGCTGCTGTGATGGCAGCTGTCCTCCATTCTGTATCTACCACAGTGCCCTGGACATGACATCATTCCAGGACATTGTGACAGTGAAATGGCAGTCACAATTTTTTAAAATGGCCTTCCTTTGGGGATGGGCAGGAAAAAGAAAAATCTCAGAATTTTATAGAAAAATAAATTTCTACTTTCTATACCACCTTTCATTAAGAAAAATCTCAAGGTGGCTCACAATAAAACATCATTTAGAATGCATTAAAATATAGTGCAAATCAGTGGAAACCATGTTAAGTTGGTGGAAATAGCCAGTGAAAGCCTGGCAGAATAGCTAAGTTTTGACCAGCCCTGAAAGCAAAGCACAGTTGGCACCTGCTCTGTCTCACAGGGGAGATGGGGTCACAACAGAAAAGCGCCCCCCCTCCTAGTCACAACAAGATGGATATCAGGGCTGCCTTCAGATGTCTTCTAAAAGTTGGGTAGTTGTCTATTTCCTTGACATCTGGTGGGAGAGCGTTCCACAGGACGGTCGCCACTACCAAGAAGGCTCACTGCCTGGTTCCCTGTAACATCACTTCTTGCAGGGGGACCCACCAGAAGGCCCTCGGCGCTGGACTTCAGTGTCTGGGCTGAATGATGGGGGTGCAGATGCTCCTTCAGATATACAGGACGGAGGCCGTTTAGGGCTTTAAAGGTCAGCACCAACACTTTGAATTGTGCTCGGAAATGTACTGGCAGCCAATGTAGGTCTTTCAAGACCGGTGTTATATGGTCTTGGCGGCCGCTCCCAGTCACCAGTCTAGGTGCCACATTCTGGTGGCAGAATGGTTATGTATTTAAATACATAAATGGTTATGTATTTTTATTTGATTCGTGTTAAAGCCAGTTCCAAAAAAATATTATTGTCAGGGGGGTAAATCTATTTTAAATAACTACCTAAACAAATCAATAAAATGAATAAAATAACAACAGTAAAATCTTGCACATACTTCAGTGCTAAATACAGTCCAGAAAGACCTGATATACAACTGTCCACCTTCATTATGGCTCCTACTGTCCTACCTGGAATTCTTCCCCCAAAATAGAACATAAAACTACAAAAAGAGTTTTGTGGCACCTTAAAGACCAGTAAATTTATTATGGCATAAGCTTTTGTGGACTACAGTAACTGCATCAGATGCATAAAATGTATTCAGGGTAAAACACTGTTATGCATCTAAAGAAGTATGCTGTAGCAGAAAACAAACCTTAGGCTGTAATAAATCCGTTTGTCTTTAAGGTGCCACAAGGCTATTGTTTCGGCTGCAGCAAACTAACATGGTTTCCCTTTCTGGAAAACATATGATTTGCTATTTATACACATAATATATGTTTTGTTGATCTTTAGTTATGTTTGCTAACATTCCTGGAAACTCTACCAGTAACTAGTTTTCACAACAGTATTTATTATTTAGAAGGAATTTTTGTCTTTTGCCTATTGAAAAAGAAAACCAACCTTGGACAGTGGTACATTTCTTGACTGACGTAGTTTTTTAAGTGAATGAATTGCATCTAAGAGTGGACGGACGTCTGATACAACCTGTTCCTTGATGTGATCCAAATCCTTGAGAAGAGCCAGCACTTTATCCAAAGAAGTTTGAAGTTCCATTGGGAAAAGCACCTAGAATAGCAAAGAGAAAGGAACATCATAACCAAAATTAAGCATGTGAGGTACAAAATCAAAACAGAGAACTTCTAGATCCTAATGATCCCAATGGGAGCATTGAGCACATGCTTTTAAACCTCTCCTGCTGAAATAAATAGGACTTAAAACTGCTTAACTTTGGCTGAATTGCGATTGTATTCATTAGTAAAAAAATATGCTTTGAATGCATTATAAACATGCAGCACCTGATGGCGCCAGAGAACAAATAATTTTTCCATGTGATTTTTACATAGCGTTTTTTTCTTTTGTTATAACTGTTTAATTTCTGACTTATTTTTTCCTGTGTGTGGATCCACCCCAAATGTTAGCATTTCCTAGGTCTGTAAAATAATCAACACTGTCTCAGTGTTGAACTTGTATAATTGAGTACGAAGGAAAGTATTCAAAACAGGCATGATTTGCCAAGATCCTGCCCCAAACATCTTTTCATTCTTTATGGATAAAGCATATTGATTGAACAACAGATACCTGCAAGTAAACCACAGTTCCTACAGTGCTACATCGTTGAGGAAACCCACACCAGCCCTACTTGGTGCCTTTTCAACATGCATGGACCACCGACTAGATTATCAACACTGGCAAGGAGAAGATGAGGAAGAAGACACCAAAGTCCAGATACAGCATGCAATTTGTTCCGCTGCATTTGAAAATCACTTTATTTCTTTTCGTTGTCATGGGATGGGGGAAGGGGGCAGTAAGGCAAGCCCTGCTCTTCAGATCTTTGTGAGATTACCGTAAAAGCATCTAGAGGGCTGGTTAAGTATGTTAAACTGAACATGCATAGAAAATTTCCTGCAACGAGAAACCCTGATAAGACAATCAAACAGGTTCCATCAAATACTCTTCAAAACCCTCTTCAGCGCTTAACAGAAAGATCTGAAGAGCAGCCTGCACATCTGGGGACATGGGAAGTGAGGCGTGGGGGCCTGCCCCTGCTTCCACTTACTGCAAGTTCAGGCAAATGACTGAACATGGCTGTTTTATCGTTTAGATTTTGCCTAGAATGGCTTTTAGGCAACTTAAGACAAAAGACAGGGAGTGGCCTTTTTTATTATCCCAGTTGAAAAGAAGTTTTTTTAAAATCAGATTTTTTTTTAGGTTTAAGTGAGGCAGTGCAATTTTGAAGATGTATTGTTTAAATGTGTTTTTGTAAAACAAGAGAGAAGGGGAAAGTTGCTGCATGCTAAGAGCTTTGGACAGCGAAATACATTTTTCAAAGCCATATTTGCTGCAGGCTGCTGTGGATTTTAACCTACCCCAACTGCGACTTATTGTTCCTATTAATAATTTCAAGGCCATTTAAGTCTTGCAAGACGACCATTTGCACTTTCCTGCAGAATATAATAGCATACACAATAGGGGGAGAGTCAAAATAACAGGAGCCTCTTGCCAGAAACCTGATCTTCTCCCCGTCATCCTAAATGCGGTCTCTTTGCTACTCCAAAATAAACCACCAGTTTAACTTGAAAAAGAAACTGTGGGTGCTTGCATTGGTGTAGCCCTGCACCCCATGTACATCTTGTGGTTACCAGCACAGCAAGGCTCTGAGACATCAGGTGCCATCCTCTGTCCCCACCAGGCAAAGCTAAGATCTCTCTCCTCACCTGCCATTAGATCCCAGGATGTGAGCCTTGGGCAACCTGGTAACCTCTCATCACATTATTGCAGTGATAGAGAAAAACTGGCTTTGGCTTCTGGTTCGGAGCTCTTATTGGCATATAAAAATGTCCCTTTTGGAGTGCAGTCAATATACATGTGGAACAAAATGGATATGGAATTTTTGATAGGCCTGAGATTTCGCAGGTCTGACTAGGGAAGCAGGGAGCAAATGAGTGGTTTATTGGGCCAAGGAAGAGGGGAAGAGGGAATATTATACAATTGCTAAACATAGTTTAGCAATTACGTTTTCAAGTAGGTAATAACTCTTGAGTGCTTCAATGCAATTTGGAGTTGGACTCGGGTTAATCATTGCTTTATTAAATTCTACAAAATCATCTGTTAAAAAAATATTCTTCAATGGGCTACATTTTAAAATATATTGTTATGAGTGCTAGACCAGTTTGCAAGGGCCTGGGGTGGGAGGAAGTATGGAGACCCTTCTAATACCTGGATTCAATTGCTGGAATAGTCAGGCCAGCCTGGGTGATGGGCCACTAAGAGAACAAAAGGAAAGAGGATTCTTTGCTAGATAGCAAATGGGTGGAGCTCCTCCACCCTTTCTTTGAGGGTGGAGTTTTGAGGGCAGAATTTACTATGATGTGACCTAGAGGACAAAGCTGCAACTGAACAGGCAGGGAGAAAGCCATGGCTGATTTCTGCTTGAATCCAAGGCTGTGGCTATGGGAGGAACAAGCCCCTTTTGGGGTGCTAAGACTGTGAAGCCCTCCATCATAGGCTCAGGTTGTATATATCTGTAAAGAAACTATATATCCTAAAGACACCACAATCTCCACTGTGCCTCTTTTTCAAAAGGGAACCCGAACCCTGGCTAAGTGCCTGGAACCTCGCACTGCCCAGAAATTGGGGTGGACTGTGACAATATACAACATGGGAGCACAGCAACAGATTAGTATTCGCAATAGCAATATGAAAGATTTGAGCAATGCAAAATTAGAAGGTAGGTTCCTTTAGGGTATTGTTTGAGGTTATCGTGCACGGGTGGGACCCCGTAAAGAACTGCATGCAGAAGGAAGATGGGACAATGGCTTGGTTGTATTTGTCTTCCTTTACCCTTTGCACTGCTAGATATTTTCACTGGTAGGTGAACTAGGCTCAGAAAAAGCTTGTCCTGAACCTCATCACAGCTACAACCATGATTATTTTTATAATGGTGGGAGAGCCCAGGCTCACGTCATTCCTGAAACAATTAAGCTTGGAGTCAGCTGTCAGCAGCACACCATGACCCAGGAAAATTGTCTGTGGAAGTCGACAAATGCCGGCTCCCTTGGCCTGTATAGTGAGATGAGCACAGCAACCTATGAATATCCATTGCTCACAGACATGACACCATTGCTGCACATGGGCACACAAACCAGGTTGCTTGATTTCCTGAACTTCCTTCCTATTATGTTCAAAGCAACAAAAGAAGCAGAAGACTTGTACTGATACAAACAACCTTGGAAAATTTAGGGAGATATTTTAAAGATTCAAACGCAACACAAACCTTGTACATGAAACTGTAGACATCCAGGTAATGCAGTAGTGTGACCCCTAAAACGTAAGACTTGTGGACCCTTTCTGAGAGCGGCAGGTTGCAGAACTGCTTTGCTACGACTCCCAGCTCAGCACCAGCTGCATTAGTATCACAGGACTCCAGCTGGAGTATCCAGAAAATCAGCTGTATTGGCACAGAGGAAAAGCAAGTTTGTAAATAGTGAGCTCTCTCTAATGAGGATGAATTAAGCATCTCTCTTTTTTCGGCCCTCACCAGTAGAGGATGGAGCAACATACAATTCTTCACACAACAAATTGGGAGTTTCCTTAACCTCTTGAATGCAAGAACACAAGTTAAAAGATTCAGGTTCTTTGGACTATTCATATTCATGACTTGTTTTGCATCTTAAGCCCATGAAAGTGTTGCTGAAGGACTCCTGCATTGATTCCTGCATTGCAGGGGGTTGGACTAGATGACCCCAGGGTCCTTTCTGACTCTACAATTGTAGGATTCTATGACTCTAGCCGATGTGACTGAATCCATCACAACTCTCTGTCCAGCAATGCTCAGGGCTGGAGACAAATATTAGTTTTTGACTTGAAAGTGTTTAGGGAGAGGTTTTGTTTCCTGGGGTGTACTTACATATTTATTTTGCCCCAATGTCAAACAGGTTTACCCATTTTTAACAACTCAAAAAGCTGCCCAACCTGATTAACAGAGGCAAAAGAGCGCAGTTGTATATATGCCACGAGCGGTTTTTGTTGCCCAAACTCCTAAAGGATAGGATAGGCTTTTATTAACTTAGGTTATATGGAGAAACAGGAGGGGGGCACCTTGCTTTGTACTGGCAGTTGTGAATAATGCACATGTTCTGTCATGCTCTTAACAAGCCTTCCCCTCAGCAACCACCTCCAAATTAGTAGCAGCTAGCATATGAAGAACTTTTTATCTATGTCTCAGCACCATATTTTCTCCTGCTGGAGAGGCTGTCACACTATTAAGTCCACCCAGAATCTGTAACAAGATGCACTATAAGCTAAAATGTTGACAAAGAACTATGACGGAACATACATTATGAATGGACAGATCAGTAAGAAACATGAGCTACTGGCTGATGTGAATCACGTAACCACATCCCATAATGCATAAGTACACACGAGCTGCACGCATGTGTTACCACTTATCCCCCGCATGTGGAAAGCCAGCTAAGTAGACAGCATCATTCGTAATAAACTTGCCTGTGTTCTGTTTTCTGGAAGAGGCATTTCCATCAAAGCATTGATACTTTCTGCCGACATTCCTACCACATTTCTGAGATCATTTTTGAGGAGGTCAACGTTTCTGAAAAGGTCTATTAGCATGTCTTTAAAACATCAGAAAACAAAACGAAATGAAATATTTCAGTCTTCAGGAAACATTGCTTATGCAGAGCATTGAAAGTAGCTTCAGGGAGATGTGGGGAAAACGCCTCAAGAGTGTCACCATGTGGTACATTTAAATGCAAAGGTATCATCCCCATTTTCTACTATTTTGCATTCCTGTGCCCAGAGAGATCTGAGGCTGTATCATTTCAAGGCCATTCAGTATTCAAATAGCTCCTCTTTTCTCTTTTATGTATTTAAACATTTTCCATACACATTGAAATAATAAACCTAAAATAATACTGTCTTAATAAAGCATATCCCCTGATAAAAATCAAAACAGTAATCTCACCTGCTACATTTTGTCCAAATCTTGTATTTCAAAAGCCTAACAATAAACCCCAATTGCCCATAAATGTGTTTCTAATTTCACTTCCTTCTCTGAATCATATCAAATGAGTTTATTTTACAATCAGCAATGTATTCCATTTGCTTCTTTACCAATCCTCACTAGATGAAACACCACTTTTCTATTTAAACGCTATTTCAGTCCTAGCTGATAGCAATAAGTTAATCACTAATGCTATATTTTCCTTCCTTACTTCATTTCGCCCCTGGATGGTGTGGCTTATATTATTAGAACGAGCAAGTAAATGAGACCCTAAAGGTATGGCTGATGTTATTAGTCCATAATAGTATAGGATAGCCACTCAGGCAACACTATTACAGAAATGAATAAAATTAGCTGTGTCATCAGGGGCTCATTCACCTATCCATCCTCCAACATGATAATATATCCATCACTTGCCATGAATGCCCTTCTGTTGTCTACAAAGGACAAACAGAGACTAAATGGACACAAATTTGATATAAAATCTGCACCTTTCAGAAACTAGTGGGGGAGCATTTAATTCTCCAGGATGCTCTGTTGCTGATCTGAATGTCACCATCATCCCAGAAGCCAGACTCCAGGAGGAAATTTATGAGTAAGTTTGATTCTGTTTGTTCAGGACTGAACAGAGACCAAGCTTCTTATCCCACTAAAGACAATAAATCAGCATAGCAAAGATAGGAAGGTCATATTGTCACCAATTGCAGCTTTTGTAACTAGTCACTGTGCCTTTGTTGAATATAATTAAGTTTTATACAAATATGTATAAATTCTAAGCCTTGTCCACAATTTCACAATGAAAATGGTTTGATCCATACTGACAACTAAATTTAATAAGCAATTCATTCTAAGAAACAAACAAGTGAATGTAAAACTTACCTTGCTTCCTGGAGTGTACTGTATTCTGAGTGATGTTCATTATAGAATCCAAAGATGCCATATACTGTGGGATGTCACGGATATATTTAAGTTGTGGCACATTTTCTTGTAACCTTAAAAAACACACCAAATACTTTGTTACTTCAAACTAATATACACTGCTAATATTCTGCTACAAATTACCTTGAAGAAGGCCTTACCTGTTTATTTGCTGCTGGAGTTTCTCGGGATCCCCTATGACTATGTCTCGAAATTCTCTAGACACCCTGCTATGGTTCATAAAATTGGTCACAATCCGATCACTTAGTTCTATCCCACGAAGAAGCTTCTTGTGGAACTCACTTTGATCACACAACTCTGCAAAGCCAACACCAGGGAGTTGGCAGGTTTGCTGCAATGACCGGATGCTCTCGGGGTCACAAAGGAGGGATGTCAAGTTTTGGAGGTGAGTTAGCTTCAAATACAATCAAGAGAGAAAAATTATTCAAGAATGAGTGGTTTAAAAACAAAAACCAATGAGGAAAATCCGGCCAACTTGGTGAAGAAACAATGTTTCACTGGTGAGGTGATGATGGCAGTGCAAGTTATATGCATTTGTGAGTGGATGTGACAGAGGCCCAATAGGTGCTTTCCCCTAGTTTTAGAATGGGAATCTGGAGCAGAGAAGCCAAGGGGGAGGCGATGAACCCTTATCCACCTGCCGCTTTGTTGCTCTAAACCGCCACTGCCAAAACCACTTCCCACCTTCCCAAGTTTGGCTTTAAGAGTAGGGGACCTCAGACCTGGGGAGGGAGTCAAATGTGCCCCTCCAGCCTCTCTACTGTCCTCATGCCACGCCCCTTCACCAACTACACCTCCACTCCACAGACAACATGGCTCAGAAGCCCTGCTTTGCACCCTCCTTGCGTGGTCTTCGTTTTTGTTGTGTTGCCTTGCCTGAGTATGTCCTTGAACCCAGATAATGCCTTCTGCTTGGCTGGAAGGAGGATAAAGAGGGCTGTGTGAGGGTGTAGAAACAAAGGGGGCTGGGAAAGTTTCTCCATTTGCATTTTATATGTATGTTTGCAATGGGGGAAAGAGAGGTTTGGGAAAGAGAAGCAGCAGGTGAGGAAACGGTGAGATGCCTTCCTGCTCCATTTCTGTGCTAGGTTTCCCCTCCCAAAGCTGCTTTTCTCTAGGGAATGTAGTCTTCTGGTTTTTAATACACTTGCACGTTGGGCGGACCTAGGCCTTAATAACAGTTGTTACAAGCCCACGCAATCATACTGTACCAGCCAACATCATGAGCCTACTCACTCTTAGCATCAGGATCTCTGGAACTGATAAATCTTTCTTGTCGGTATCACGGGGAGTGAGAATAACCTTTTTCAGCTGTGCTATGCCTGGAGGAAGGTCAGCATTTCCTGTACAGAAAAACCAAACCATTACTTCTTTGTCTATTTATTTCAAGCATTCTTAGTACTTTTTTTGCCCTAGAGGCTACCAAGATGACTATGAAGATCCAACTATCATCATCTTCACCACCACCATTTCCCTGCATGTAGAAATGCAGGTAGGGGAGGGTGATATTGAGCAGACACCCCCAAAATCAAGACTGCGGCTTTTGCAGCTTCTCTTGGTAAAAACAAAAATGGAAATCCTATCACTCCCCTCCCTCCCTCTCTGCACATATACATAAATGCATACATGAATGAACATATATTGAGTTCATCTTATGGATAACAGCTAGTCCAAGGCTGCTTACACACCATACATTTAAAGCACATTCCTTCCCCCCAAAGAACCCTGGGAACTGTAGCTTATTAAAGGTCCTGGGAATTCTACTTCTATAGGGGCAAACTACAGTTTCCAGAATCCTTACAGAGGATAATCAGCTTTGAATGTATGGGGTGTACACAGCCAGCCATGGCACATTCATACATAAAAGTGTTCAGCCATCCATAAAGGGAAGTTTCAAAAACGAGTACAGTGGTACCTCAAGTTAAGTACTTAATTCGTTCTGGAGGTCCGTACTTAACCTGAAACTGTTCTTAACCTGAAGCACCACTTTAGCTAATGGGGTCTCCTGCTGCTGCTGTGCGGCCATCGTGCGATTTCTGTTCTCATCCTGAAGCAAAGTTCTTAACCCAAGGTAATATTTCTGGGTTAGCGGAGTCTGTAACCTGAAGCGTGTGTAACCTGAAGCATATGTAACCTGAAGCGTATGTAACCCGAGGTATCACTGTAAATTGTATGCCACTATCAACATATACATTACCTGAAAATTCACTTTCCAGCCTTTCAGAGACATTCAATACACAAATCAAGTACGATCTGAAGACATTATTGGGGGACATGTGTAAGAAGACATTTTCAAATTCCGAAAACAGAAACCTAGAACAAAAAAACAGAACAAGAAAGGAATGCTCCGACTTCTTAAGTATGCCGCAGCAAACATTACATAATGGTGTGAAATAGAAATCCTTTAAAAAAATGTATCTGTAGCCCACTTATATTTGATTCAGTGAGACCAAATTAGCTTAAGCCAGACAGCTCAGCTGAATGAGGGCAGTAAATTTTTTAAACAACACTGCACATAGTAGCTTTCCTAGTTTCCAAATGAGATAGCAGAGTTCAACTTTCTTGAGTAAAACAAATTTAGAGATACACCATCTGGGATAGTAGCCATAATTAAACAGATTTCTTTGTATGACACTTCACTTATTACGTTACTTACAGTCTGTCTAAACTTCAAAGATTTAAGAAATCTCACCAGCTTCAGAAAGATCCTCCCTGGCCCGTCCAAGTGCAAGTCTTAGGCTAAGAGGCTGGGAGCAGGAGGCAGGCTAACCCATTGATCCAATCCAAATGCAATCCAAAGCAAGTTTGCTCATGTATAAGCCTCATTCAATTCAACAGGACTTTCCCTCTAGTAAGGGTGTTTAGGATTGCAGCTTTAAGTACACAATTAGGGCATCAGGCAACAATTCTAAACTTGCTTACTGAGAAGGAAGTCCCACAGTAAAAAAACAACAGTCAAACTTGTGTCTTAATATGCAAGCTTAAGATTGGGCTGCAACAATTATTTCAATCACTTACACATACACAGATCCCTCTAGTTTACATATTTTTCCTGTCTTGGTAACTGCTATTATCCTGGATCTCGCAGCCTCTTTTTTAAAAAAACGTGCTGTGCATTCATTTACTCCCCGCCCCCCCCCGTCCTGTGGAGGAGGAAGCCGCTCAGGCGTCTGGGCCGGCGCATCCAGGGCCAAAGCAAGCCGGCCAGGGGGCAGGGTGAGGGTGGGACGAGCCACCCATGGGGTGGGGCGCACTGTGGGGCTCCAGAGTCTGCCTGCCTCCTCCCACTCTGCCACCCTACAGCTGGGGGGAGGCAGTGGGCAGATCGTTTGGGCAGTGCAAAGCCTGTGCAAGCCCAAGCCACCATGTCACTCCCAGGAGAGGCGCATGGCTTAGGTGTGCTGCAGGCCCCCCAGTGAGTGCCACCCAGCATTTTGTCACCTCCCTCAGTGGTGACACCCAGGGCGGCCCGCACCCCCCTTCCTCCGCCTCCCTCTTATTTTTGTCAAACACTACAGTTTCAATCTCCAGTATGAGGGAAATGTAGTTCTGCTTGTGCTGGGGAGGTTGCCGATTTTCTCCTCCTGGTGCAATTGCCCCCAGGCCTCCAGAAAGGCTGCTCTGAAGGAACCCATAAGCTTCCAGTCATTTTTTCTGCAGTTCAGCAAAAAGGGAGAGTTGTGTGGTCCTTGGATTCAAGATATTGTTTTTATCCCATGCTTAAATACTAAAGCATGTATCTGGTCCGGGCCAGGATCTTTTGCCGCTTGAGGCAAAACCTGTCACCTCTGTCATGACCACCTCCATGGGTGCCACCCATGGCAGATGAGGCAGCAGGGCATGCTTGCAGCAGCAGTGGTGCACCCCCACACAGGAGGAGTCAGTGATGGTGCAATGGTGGCAAGTGGTGTGCAACTTGGGCTCAGATTTGCCACCTTACCTTGCCTCATGGGTGGGCCAGCCTTCACCCAAAATGACATAAGAGAAATCCAAGGCCCACGTAGACCAGGCATAGGCAAACTCAGCCCTCCAGATGTTTTGCGACTACAATTCCCATCAACCCTGACCACCTGTCCTGTTAGCTAGGGATGATGGGAGTTGTAGTCCCAAAATATATGGAGGGCCGAGTTTGCCTATGGCTGACCTAGACCAACATTCTGTTCTCAAAGTGGCCAGTTGGATGCCTATGGGGAGCTCGCAAGCAGGGCCTGAGTGGAACAGTGTTCTCCCTATTTGGCAACTCTCTGATATTTAGAGGCCCCCCAACTCTATTTGAGAACAAGGCTGAATAATCTTTGAACTGCTGAGTTCAACAACAGATTGTTACAATTATGAAACTGACCACTTACCGTCCAATCAAACTGCTTGGAGGCAGTGTTTGCACCAGTTCATTCTGAAGCAGTATTCTGTTTAGAAGCATTTCAGTGGTCATGACAGAAGGGTGTGCAACATGGTCAAGCTGATATTCCAGATTGGTTCTGTCTTGAAGAAAATGTAGATTCACGTCTGCTTTTAGCTCCTTCAGTAAATTCAAAAATGTAACATTTTTAAAAACACTGGCATCAGGTACTTCATTGTCAACTAGAACTCTTTCCACTAGTTTCAAGCCACGCTTCACATACTCAACTTCTGTAATGTTCCACTTGAGAAACATGTTCCAGATATGAGAAAACGTCTTCCATCCAGATTGGCTGTGGATAGCTTCTCTGGCAATCTGAAGCACTTCATTTATGGCAGCATTTGAAGAAAGGCTATCCTGCAATAGCTTGAAAAACACTGACAAATTATTCCCATCAGCTAAGCTGTCTGTGAGATTTTGTGAATAAAATTCTGCTTCATTGGCAAAGAAAAGCGGGACAAGATTCAAAGGATCATAGTTGACTGTATTATTTGTATCACTAAGAACAGGGATTGGGCAAGTTGAATCATTTGGGGGCAGCTCATTAGAGATTATTGCTAGAGTTTTATGAATGTCCCTTATCCATGGATGTTTAAAATGGAAGAGGGTGTCCATTTTTGAAAGCAGGCTTGAAGAAAACTGTAGTGATTTGATGATGCATAGCAATGCACTTGACAAAAATTCACTATTGTTTTTGTAAAGTCTTGCTAATTCTGGAGTCTGCTTTAAGTTGCTTATTGAGTCCTGGAACAATTCAGTAAATGTTTGATTGGGCATTGTTCTGTTTTCAAAGTCCCTGGAAGTAAAAGGTAGTTTGCAATGACTTTGTTTCAAGAACTCAGGGATAGTGGCATTCTTAAACAACATCTGAAGTATTACGTGAATTACATCTTGGACACTGCAGTTATGTGGCCCTCCAGCTCCATGGTTCCCAATATCTAAGAAAAGACTCAGAGATAAATGCAAGACATCTATTATCTTTGCTTCCGCTAAAGTACTAATCCTTAACAAAGACTCATTAAATTCTTTTTGAAAGATAAAGTGTGAGAAACCATACAGTGCAGCAATTTTTTCTTTAGCAGTTTCTTCTTCCAATCTGCTGTCAGAAAGCATTATTCTCCCTTGCCTCAGTATGTCATATACCCTTTGGAGGACTTTATTGCTATCATAGACCAACTGAGGGGTTGCTTCTAATTGGCTGGTGTTAAATTGGTGTTCAAAAGTTTTCTGTAACAACAGATTCCTGAGGACCACATAGATTACTTCTGAGATGTTGCTGCTTTGTGAGTCTTCCTCAGTATACTTCTGTGTAATGTGGGATAAGTGTCTAGTCAGTTCCTCCAGTTCTGCACTGAAAAGAGTATCAGAACCATTATCCTGTGTGTATAAATTTGTGGTGTTTTGGATTTTTTGCATTATTCTTGGAAGGTACGCCATTAAGGGGGCATTGTGGCTCATGCTCATGTTTGCTGTAAAACGATACTTATTCAAAAGTGCTAAGAAGTACTCCAAAATGTTTTTTCTGCTTTTAGATCTAAGCAGAAGATCTGAAAACTGCAAAGGAGCTTCCTGTGTTGCATCAAAGTCCAGCTTCACATCCTCAGGAAACAGTGGATTTGCCATAGAGATCACCTTTTTGATATCTTCCCATATTGTTGCTAATTTAAACTTGGTCTCATTTAAAAACAGCTGATTCCAAGTCATTCTACTTAAGTTTGATGCCTTCTTGGTTTCTTTCCAGTGAGGGTTCATATAAAAAAGGCTTTGAGCAAGAACATCAACAGGTGTAGACGAATTATTAAAAAGTATTTCTAAATGAGCTTTGAAATCTATGTCAGAGGTTTCACTTAGGAATAATTTTAATGAAGCAAGCATGTCTTCTAAATAGGAAGCTTTCATCTGCCAACTTAAGGTCTCAAGGGGCAGATGAGTTTCTGTTTTATTAGGCGCCAGTCCTGCGCCAACGAGAAGTAGAGCTTTCCTGGTCATGCCCAACAGTCGAACATACTGGTTTGCATTTGTCACATTCTGATTGGAGCTCAACATATTTGCAACTTCACTCAATACCTTTGATAAGTTCTTCCATTTTGATTGACTTGCATCATTTTTGCTCACTTTTAATATCTTTGATACAATGGCATTCTTATAGGGCTCATTTTGTAACAAAATAAAAGATGCAAGGGCTTGTGGTACACTGCCAGATAAATTTTGTGCACGAGGTTCTGTTTCATTCAGAATAAAAGGGCTTAAAATGTGCAAAGCAGAAGGTCCATTTATAATGTCCATAAGCCCGGGCCACGGTGCTTGGCAGGTCAGATTACTTTGGTGGAATTCATTAGAGATGGCTGTTAGACGTCTATGCATCTTTTGTATCCAGGGATTCTTGTAGCTATGGAAATAGTTCAGTTTGGAGAGAAACTCTGACGAAACTTGTAATGAGTTGATGAAGCACTGAAATTCACCTGAAAAGTATTTCCATTTGTCTTTGTGGAGAGTTTGAAAAGTTGGCATCAATTTTAAATTTCTTATCACAAGCTGAAACTGCTCAGTAAATGTAAGATGGTGGGCTGTTTGGTTTTCCAAGTCTGTGGAGGTAAAGAGGAAATGGCAGCTACTTCCTCTTAAGGCATCCAGTAGGGTGGCATTATTCAACAGCACTTCAAGAACAATGTGATGAACATCCTTGACAGTACAGTTCTGCAGTCTTTCATTAACCTGATTGTCTTCCCTTAGAAAAGGGATCAATGTTAAATACAAAAGATCCTGTACTTTTGCTTCTCCTGAAGAATCATGCTGTGCTGAAGTCCTATACAACTTCTGCAAAAGTAACATGCGTGAAAAACTGAAGAGGGTATCCAATTTTTTTATACTAGATGATTCTGTCAGCCTAGGATCAGAAAGTATATCTACCCCTTCCTTGAATATCTGGAACAATCTCTGGACAGTTTCATTGCTGGCATCCTTTAGTGGATTAACAGGAATTAATTCATGGATGTACCTTTCCTCCAAGTCTTCTAGCACATCTAGAGTTTTCAGAGCAGCATCTAAAAACATTGAGACATTTGCCCCACTGGTGTTCTCCTCACTGTATTCTTTCATTAAATGGTTCACAAATTTGGTCAGCTGCCCAAGCTCCTTTTTCAAAGGAAGGCCAGAGCCATTGTGGTGAACATGAAGATTGTTGTGCAATATGTCCAAAACCTGCCCATAGGCAACGATATCTGTATCACTCCATTTTGCAGACCTCAGTTTTTCTGTAATACGCCAATAATGATTGAATTCATTCCAATGAGATTCACCAACGAAATTTTGAATGTCCTGCATCTTGTCAATAATGAAGGATAGCAATAAGTAATTATGACTTTTCTTAACATTTGCTACCATATTTAAGATTTTCTGGAGTGTCAAGAACTTCTCAGGAAAGTTGTAAATAGTTGTAGGTTTAAACAGAAAATCTGAAAACAATGATGGCACATCTTGGACTGATGCTAAGTACCTTCTAAGGTTTTCAGGCATATAAGATAATTTGTGAGAATTTATCGTTTTAATGGTTTGCCATATCTTTGTGACCATAATATTAGTCTTATTTAAAAATGTTTGATTCCAAATGTTTCTAAACTTGGGAACATTTTTACTTTCTTTCAAGTGAGCCATTATATCAAGCAAGTGCAGCCTATTAAAGTCATTTTGAAGCAGGAGAGATGTGAAGTTGTTGATTTGGTTGATTTCTCTCCTATTAAGTGCACCTCTTAATTTACTGTCTCTGTCAGCCTCCATTTGCCACTGAAGGATATCAGTCAAGTTCACTCTACTGTTATTCTCATATCGCTTGAACAGGTTGTTCAGTTCAGCAATGCTAAATTTCTCTGGTAAAACTTCAAAAAGATGTAGAGACTTCTTAATGGTTTCTAAATCCTTTGAGAGATTACGCATTTTGAAGTCTTCACCAGCAAAATCTGGAGGTAATATTTTTCTGAAATGAGAACAAAAATACAGAAATACAAATTCAAATGATTTGATTTATTTATCCAGTTTATATATCTCCCTTCATCCAAAGATCACAGGGCAGTTTACAACATAAAACACACAAACCCCCCACAAAATACATAACATAATAACAAAAAGACAATAATGCCCCCTGAAGCTAGAACATGGCAGAATAATCGTGTCAGTCTTTATGCCATGACAAATGTGTAATTCTTTAAAATTCAGTAAACAATATGTTGCTTGAAGCAACATATCAGTTTCTGCTCCCATATCATTCTGCTCCCATCAGTTTCTGAATGGTGCTGCATTTCTAGGCTTGCATATAACAACAAATCATCATTCATAAAAAGCAGAAGCGAAGGGTTCTGATTCCCACCTCACTGCTGCACTGAAGGAAGAGAGGAAGGAAGTGCATGTGCCCAATACTTGTGCATATAAACCTTAAGCCATAGTTTTGTGCTACATTTGAGAACAACCAATGTGTCATGGATTCTGTCACTGTGGCTGAAATCCTATACACAGTTAGCTGGGAGTAAGCCCGCTAAACACTGTGGGTAGAATTCAACATCAAGCTCTTTCAATTGTTCCCTCTACACAAGCATTTCAGTTTGCTAGATGGAACAAGCCCCTCTCCTCCCTTTGTGTACTATCCTGGGAATTCTCACACATACACACGAAAGCCAATTTTGAGGGACAGGGCCTGCCGAAAGAGGAGAGGAAGGAAAGCCCAAGTGCACAAACAGAAACCCTTGTTCAAGGCTTCCATTTATGGAGCTGGTTAGCCAAGGTGACTTACTTCTGAGGAATCATGCATATGTTAGTAAAGGTAAAGGTACCCCTGCCCGTACGGGCCAGTCTTGACAGACTCTAGGGTTGTGCGCCCATCTCACTCAAGAGGCCGGGGGCCAGCGCTGTCCAGAGACACTTCCGGGTCACGTGGCCAGCGTGACAAAGCTGCATCTGGCGAGCCAGAGCCGCACACGGAAAGGCCGTTTACCTTCCCGCTTGTAAGCGGTCCCTATTTATCTACTTGCACCTGGGAGTGCTTTCGAACTGCTAGGTTGGCAGGCGCTGGGACCGAACAACGGGAGCGCACCCCGCCACGGGGATTCGAACCGCTGACCTTTCGATCGGCAAGCCCTAGGCACTGAGGCTTTTACCCACAGCGCCACCCGCGTCCCTCATGCATATGTTAATGTTACACAAATACTAACTCTCAGGGATACATTTCCCCCTAAAATCCGCCGTGTGTTATGAGTTTAATCGACCAGCTTTGCCTCAACAATACAGCAGTTGCTGGTTAAATGTTCATATGATCCAGTGAAAGCTATGCAGTTTTTGTAAAGCCCCCTTCCCACTGCCCCCCAGAATAAAATTTCACATTAGCAAAAACCTAACTTTCACCCCATAAATAATTTATTACTCTAATCTCACCTCACAATGTCTTTCATTTGAGTCATTAAAGTTGGGTTGTTTTTCCAGTAGAGAGAGAGCTGACAAATGTCATTCATTGCTGAGCTGCTATTATCTACAAAATAAAAATAAACAAGATAAATCCACAATTTGAGTTACTGCCTTTCAACTTTAATTGTGATGATAGTCAAACATAGCATTTGAAGGATAAATGTGAATTTTGAAGTATGGCTGTGTTTTGGAAAGTGCAAATTTGATCAATTAGGACATGAAAACTGAAACAAATTTCTCCCCATCCCAAAACTATATTCAGCACTTCCGTCCCGGTTTGCTTAAAACAGTGTGTCATATGGGGAACACTGGGGTGATGATGGCTTACTAACTAGGATCTTAACAAGATCCAAGAATAAACCACGTTTAAAGATCCTGGTTAGTAAACTGACATGAAACCAGAGTTACCTGTTTCAGAAAAAATGAACTCTGGGTTAAATAATGTGCCAAAGATGGCATGTGTCAGGAGGAGATGAGAAGAGACCCTTTTCCTGGCTCTGTTAAGCCATAAACATTACATACAAACCACCCCAGTATCTCTAATGACTATTAATCTTTTCCATTTATCAGAATAAACACATCAACAAGGCCTTGAATAACTTATGAAAAAATTGCTTCTATTTTCTGTTGGCAGTAAGCATTTCATTATTTTGTGCATCTTAGTGTCTGTTATAAACTGAAGCAAAAAAACATTTTTTGTATGATGCAACAAGTATGGATTTGCAAGAGCTTAAACTTGTCCATCAATATTACTTAGATGCCTGATAAAGAGATAAGCAAGGAGCCTCACCTTGCTCTGAACAGTTCAAGGCATGCAGCAGACCACTAATCGTGTTCTGTATGGCTTGCAGTCCATTGTCACTTGCAACTAGTGGAGAATCCTTTTCCACAGCCATAATAATTCTTTGTAAACAGGGGAAATAAAGCAATAGTAACACAGAATGAGCATATTATAGAGCATCAAACAGCTTTGCTTCCTGTAAATAGCTAGGTAGACTAAGGGAAGAAATTGCACAATGTCGAGGGCATTTTAGGAAAACAAAATGGCAAGCAGGCGGCCTATTTCCAAAGCAGTAAGAAATGGAGATAAACGGGAGGATGAAAATGAATGCCATGAAGTCTATGAATTCCGAATAGTCAGGGTTTCCCTCCCTAAGACACTTCTATGTGGAAATCATCACTGCCCCTTTGTTTGTTTGTTTGTTTTGCTTTAATTTTTTTGCATTTTCTGTTATAAACATTCATTTATTTCACTATGTTATTCTATTAGCTCCTTTGATATAACAATTGATAATACAATGTTGTATTAGATGTTGTTGTATCATCACTGCCCCATTTGAACACTATTTGTTTTTATTTCCTTGCAAAAATTTCTATACCACCAAGAAAAATAAAATCACTTTAATCAAACAAGCACTACAGATGAAGTCCATGTACACAGCCTAGACCTTCAAATAAACCAGTCTACTACTGAGCCACTGAAATCTCATGCTCTCCTTTCATAACACCTCCCTTTATAACTGTCAGTGGAAGCTACCACTTCATCACTGTCAGCGAAATACCAGGCATAGCTATTATGTTTTTGGTGTATAGCTTGCCTTTTCTTTTACCTGCTTGTGTTCTGAAGGGCAGCAATCATATCCTTCATAGCACTGACACCTTGAGTGATATCTGGGGCCATCAGGAGGATGCGCCATAGAGAAGTTTCATTCTGCACTTGGGAGATGAGCGATAAGAACGAAACTGTTTCCTTGACAAAAGCCACCTGGTACTGAGAATCTTGCTGCAACTTAAAACAAAAATAAAACTTTTAAAAGGAATAGATAGATAGATAGATAGATAGAGCAGTTCACAGGACCCCAGTTCTCTTTTAATCATAGCTTGCTCACAATGGAGGGAGGGAAACAACTTCAAACTGCAGCTCTGTGGGGAAAGTATGTGTGTGTGATACCATACTTGGGCAGGCATCCTGGCTACTAGTCACTTCTTTGACTTCAGCGCTTGTCATTCTAGATACCTTTTTAAAACTAGGCAGGAGAGAAGATTCCTGATTGCTGTTCCTCGTGCCCAGAACTTACTCCCAGATCACCTATGTAATACTGACCCACTTCCATACTTACTTCAAGTCACTCTTTAAAAAACCCTTTCCTGAGTAGCTTTTGCCTTAACCCCTTCGATCTCATCCCATACTGAAAGTAAAGACACATGATGAACTGAATACACATTCCTCAGCTCAGGGGCACACCTTTCTGGGGTTTTTTTTGATTACTGTTCTGTAAAAGAATTGTACTTTTTGAAACACATGTTTCAAACCATACTACTAGTAGTAGTAAAAATATTAATTTGGCCTGGTTGAAAATTTAAATGTTTCCATACTAAACCTCAAGAAAGCCCAGCTATCTACGGGGTGTGGAGGTTTGCTTCATTTGCTGATGCTGCTGAGAGTTGAGAACTACAGACCTGCATGAACCTGTTCCATGACTAGGAGATCTTGTGATCTTGCCCTACCAGTTGCAAAACCTCCCAGATAGGAAGGGGAAACTGTGGTACAGGCTTGGGCTCCCAGATAGTATTGAAGTATCCCAAAGGCTTGTACTGTACTAGCCCTAGAGCATCAGAACGAATAAGAGTTGCTGGGTGATGCCCTTATAAAACATGATGAAGGCACAACAGGAGAAAGCAGACTCTTATGGAAAATCAAATTTAAAAAACCTAATCTGATGAATAAGAGGTTCTTTTGAACTCAGTTCAAGGGAGGGAACATATAGCTGACCACTGCATGCACTTGCGGCAGGAATTCACTATTGTCTGCAGCTTCTTAATGACTTGTATATTAAATATACAAGCAGTGAAACAGATGCCTATAGAAGTGTTACATGTGTTGGTGCATATATGGTGCACAAGTATTTTTCTATAGAGAAGGGATGTCTGCATTAATTCTATTAACTGAAAGGGATGCTTTTATCACCTGTGATTCATTGCACATGGAATTTTGCCTTCAATCAGGGCCTTCATTCCTTTTAAAGTTTGCTACTATGTCCACACAAACACATGGTCTAAGGCAAAGAGGTGTTATAGCTTTAAGAAGTAACATGGTAAAGTGGCAGAGGCCATGCTTTGAATTCATGATGTGCCAGGTTTGATCCTTGGATATAACCAGCCTCATATAACCAACATGCTTAACTCTAATTAATGCATGAAGGGGTTAAGACCATAGAGTAAGCTGTCCTGCCAGGCTTAGCTAGGTTACATGCCCTCATTGTGGAAGGAAGGGTTACCAAACTCTTTGCTCTTTTTCCTTTCCATCATGTGAACCCTACCAGTAAGGAGGTCAAAACTAGATGCTCCAACCTTAGACTGCCTGGCTTAAGCAAGCCATCTTTGTGTTTCTATATGAATAATTTAGAAATATTTACCATTTTGAAACTGCCTATCTTTTCTTGCTGCTGTATGGAAAGGCATATGAATCTGACCTTTGAAGAGTTTATAAGTACAGTGGTACCTCAGTTTTCAAGCGTCTCGGAAGCCAAACATTTTGGAACCCCAACTCCAAAAACCCAGAAGTAATTGAGGTTATTATTTAGCAGACAAAAAAAATGAGTTGGATACTCACTTTAGGAATCTGACTTGTGAATTCCTGAAAAAAGGACTCTACAAGGGACAAGTTGGTGAAGCAAAATGTTCGATAGATGTTTGTTCCAAAGACTTCCCAAAGGAGATTCTGGGATGATGCATCGGCCGCCATGACTTCACAAATACCAGCTTTAAGGTTTCCTGCAGAAGACTTGTGCATCTGCATCTATAAAATAAATTTCCGTACAAGAAGAACTGAAAATGAGGTGGTTGTTTCAATGTGTGAATGAACAATGGTTTCATCAAATTTTTTGAACAGCTACAATTGTTGGTGCAAAGGTTAGAAGATCACAATTGTTACACCCACGAGGCTAGCCAAAGGGCTCAGGGCACCAGAACTTGTAAGAAATCTAAATTGGGACTGTGAACACCACTACCCCACCCCCACCCATACTTCCCAGTAAAGGCATATGGAGCATTGCCTGTCCGACTGCCATGCCTAGAAATGACTATAGTTTGCTTGCACATGCACACACTCAGGGATGCACACGTCTCTCTTAGACTTCATGTTTTATTTGGAAACCAGGAAGTATGAAAAGTATGAAGCTGCTACTAGCCCCAAACCCAGGCTCTTCTCAGAATGGACACTGAGATCCAGCACTGAAGGCCTTCTGGCGGTTCCCACACTGCGAGAAGTGAGGCTACAGGGAACCAGGGCCTTCTTGGAAGGGGCGCCCACCCTGTGGAATACCTCCCATCAGATGTCAAGGAGAAGAGTAACTCTTAGGAGACATCTGAAGGCAGCCCTGTATAGGAAAGCTTTTTAAGGTTTAGTGTTTCACTATGTTTTTATATATGCTGGAAGCCACCCAGAGTGGCTGGGGC